ATTTGCCCTTAGAATATTTTTGGAAGAAAGTTAAAAAATTTATAAATATTAAAATACATATTTATAATGCATAGAATTGAAAAGAATTTCATAATAAAGTATCCTATGTAGATTGAAATATTATGCCTGTATAAAAACTATAAAATAGTAAAATATATTAAACATATAAAAAATATTCTTCCTGTTAAAGATAATATGCCACTACGTCTAGTAACTATTAAACAATTATTATTCATATAAATTTGTTAACAAAAGTAAAGAAGACAAATTACAAATTCTACAACTATGTGGGTCTAATTTTCAACTATTTTGATATTGAATTATAAAGAAAATTGAGCTTGATATATCATAGTAGAAAACTAATTAGTATTAAACAATATAGAGTATGATTTTCTGCTAGAGTGTACAATTATTTTTATCTCGATTTTACTAAATATGACATAAATAAATGCACAAGATTTGATCCTATTTCTGAAGAATGAGTCTCTAGCGATATCTGTGCTGCTTTTTATGTGTTAATATATATATGACACTCGACATGCAAAAAAGAAATGATGTATACAATATTACAAATTTTAACCCTATGTATATGTTATATTATATATATATATATATATATATATATATATATATATATGTATGTATGTATGTATATAATATAACAATATTTAAATAAAAAACTAAACTTTGTAAGATTTGTCCGGGAATGTAATGAATAAGTCTTACATCATAATTTCATTGAATGATTTAATTTATATATGCTGCAAATGGTCCCACAGTTGATTTTCACTCTAGTGTGTATGCAAGCATAGAATAAACAAAGTGCAATTAGAAGAATAAATGGAATAAAACAGATAGCAATTGAAACATAACATATCACAAATTTCTTACTATATAATATGTGATTTTTTAAATATTAACAAAAATAATAAGAAACTGTTTTACATAAATAATATGTAAAGTCAATTTACATATTGATTTCAGAAATATAAAGGAAAGTATTCTTTTAAGTTTTCTTATAAAAACCAATAAGTAGTTTCAAATGTACGTATCATTTGTAAAACCAATTGAAAACATTTCTATTGATGCATTCTTCATGTAAAATGTATACCTTTGTAATATATATTTACAAAATTGTCATCTACAGCCTGTTATTTGGTTCATTTTAATAACGTTAAAAATGATTAATAGATATCACATTCATTATATCAACTTAAAATTTAATTTGTATATTATATACTGAATTATATATTGTGCATACCATGCGGTCCCTTTCATCCTCTATTGATGCTATCAGTTTACCAAATTCCTTTAAACTTTGCGATATGTGAGTTTCATCTTCAGTTTGTGTTTCTCCAATACATTCGAAACTAAAATTTTGCAGTGTTTTAGAAAATGCTCGCTGGGCTCGGGATAAATCTACAAAACCATCACAATCTTATGTAAAATTTTATTCCATGCGAATTAGATATAAAAGTATGAAGAGAAAAATATAGGAAAAGAAATAGAAAAATGTGTTTTCAGAGCGTCATGAAGCACATGAAATTAATATCACTTTACCCATAATAAAATGGTTAGTAGATGACATAGACTAAAAAGGAGTATTAAAAAACAATTTCATAAAAAGAAATAAGAAACATCGTTTAACGAATTGATTAATTTGCAAGCGAATAGAAAAATAATTGATATTATCTATGTGTGCTAAGAGAACAATTATTCTATGTACAATTTTCTATACAAAATAAAAAACATCGACACACACATATATATGTATGTATGTACGTGTATATGTGTATATGTGTACACATATACCATACACACACACACACACACACACACACACACACACAATAATAATAGTAGTAATAATAATAATAATAATAATAACAAATGTGTTAATATAATCGCTATTAAAAAAAAAGAAAGAAAATTTGACAACTATAGAATAATATTTAGAAAATAATCTAGATAGATAAACTGTCACCGAACAGTACTCTTTTACAAACAAACGAAAATGTAGCAGCTGTTGCATACATGCAGTAACAATATGCGTGATCCTATCCTATGCAGCGCAACTTACTCTTAGCGGCTAACAGTAGATCTTTGACCTCCTTGATGAGACGTTTAATCTGCTGGCTGGTCTTTTCCAATTCACGTTCATGATAATGTAGATTTTCTCGAAAATACGGACTATCGGTTAAACAATCAGTAAACTCTAATGGTTTAAGGCCAACACCCATTATTCTTAATTATATATTATACTTGAAACGTCATTAATAAAAACAGAACGCCAGTACAGACAATTCAGCTTGCAATGAAAATCAGTACACGATTCACTTCAGCAAACTCACATTATGTTCATATACACATAAATACACAGACACGCACGCACGCACACACAACACACACAGAGAGAGACACACAAATTATATATATATAGGGTGCGCGAACGCAAGAAACGTATACGTGTATGTATGATTTGTATGCGTATGCAACCTACATATACTAATGTACATATATATTAATCTTAATTATTACAAAAATATCAAGAAAGATATAGATTTAAGATAAAATATTTCACTTATTTTCAATCATATGTAAAAAGATATGTTTTCCAACAATTATTATCAATCGACGATCCTGGACGACCCATGGATTAGTCTTATGTCACTTTACACTGTATACAGCGCCTCTAGTAATGCTATACGTTAACTAAATTGTTGTAATCGTAATTAAATACTTTATTCAAATTTATAGTAAATAATATTAAATGCTAAAAAGCGAAGGCATCAAACATTTTTTAATACATTTTTAATCGTTTTTTCTCACGTTTTATTATTAAAAAATTATAGAAAAAACAATTTTATTTTATAATATGTTATTACTACAAAACACTTATAGATTTTATATACATATACATACACATATATTTTTTAAATGATTTATTATTGGTGAAAATACTTATATCAAGGATATAATAATATCATAAATATTTAACGTTAGTCCAAAGAATTTTAATAATGTACCACAATAATTTAATCATATATAATATAATATCTTTTGGATTATTTTAATTAATAGTTAGGTTGGTACGAGCATTTATAGGCCATAACCTATAAGAATAAAGAGGGTAACATACTAATAGGCAATGTGACATTTATTAGTTCGTAATTTTCCCATAGGACAACTTTGGCGCTATTGTCACAAAAAATCTGCATTGTCGTCACTAGTGCATTCCTTATAGTGTTTTATATATTTAAAGATTTATATACAATTTGTATTTTTCTGTGCGAGTCTCAGAGCCTATCGGAGTTTTGCTTTCGTTTAAAACCGATCAGAGTTTAGGATTTCAATAAGTTTCGATATTAATTTAAAAATTAATTTATTTTTATTAAATAATCAAAATGGTAAAGTACACGAATGAATACTTTTTCAAGATAAGTGATTGATTGCTTTTTAATGCGAATTTATTATTTGTGTCCATATACATCAATAAAATAAGTAATTTTAAAGAATACATAAAAGAAAAATGTAATAACAATTTAGCCGATCGTTAATTAATATAATACATTAAATACATTTAATGTATTACACAGTAATACTAACATATTGTAACGATTGATATTCTTAATTAATTTTACGTAATATTATACATGGCATTAAAATATTAAGAATAAATGCATTTATTGATATTAATATATCTCTCTTCTTTCTGTTTCTATAAAGATTTTGATCGTCTCATTTAATATTTAAAGTCATTAAAATATTCACATGTGATTATATATGTATATATATATATATATATATATACATATATGATCTTAATATATGCATGTACGTGTATATATATATATATATTATATATATTATATAATAAGCTTAAATTGTATATGTATATGATAGAATTAATATATAAATTATTAATTTTTCTTTTTTTCTCTTTTTAATACATTTGTCAGCGCTGTACAAATGCCTTTCTTTTCTATTAAATAGTACTTTATTCTTTCATTTTATTTTCACATATTGAAATTTTTAGTGATATTATGCAATTTTGTTATCCATTTATATATTTGAAGTTTTTTCGTCGATATATAAACAAATGGTCGATATATATATATATATATACATATATATATATATATATATATACATATATATATACATACACACGCGCACACACACACACACACAAAATAAATATGACACTTTCAATGTAGAGATAAAATCTAATTTTCTTTAATATAACATGCAATTAAGTAAGAATAAAGAAGACAACAATATTATAATAACTTTATAATAAGTATCGCTTGTTTTTTTTTTCTTTTCTTTTACATATCTATACTAAATTTGAACCTTCATATTAATTAATTAAAGTGCAATTTTGAAATCGTAATCTGTTAAATATTAAAAACTCAAGCGTTATTTATAAAGTACTATAAATATTTTCCACAAAAATAATAATCTTTCCTTTTATAAAAGACTTTTTATAACTCTTTAATCCTATAGTTCTAAAAAATAAACCCTAACATGATATTTTTATTAAAAGAAAAACTAAAATTGTCAGCATTAATGTGGCCTCTTGAACAATCCTTCAGCTCTGCTTATCGAACTCTCAGGTTCCATTGTTACTCTACCACGATTGCTTAAGAAGTCTCTTATGTGTTGCACTATCAAATCTATTGCCACTGTAACAAAGTGTAACAAGTCAATAATATGCGGTTAAAGGTTACTTCTTGAATAACTAAAAAATTTTGTTCAATGTTTTTATTACGATATTATGTTACATATACGTTTATTTAAAGTATATCAAATTATGCAATGTATTTTGTAATTTACATTGGAGTTTATTGAGAACAAGGCAGTATTTTTTATTTCCTCTTATTTTTTCTATTTAATTATTTAGCTGTAATAAGTAAATTACAAAAAGAAAATCAAATTATATTATATAAGTAAGAAATTTCTTGTCGATAAATAAAATTTTATGTGATAATGAATACAAAGATAATATTATATTCCTAATCTATATGAAACTGATAATATTAAGTAACAATTTACTTAACTATGTTCATTTACATTTCATGATTAATTGTATTATGCAAAATTGGATAAACATGATTAAAGTAAAAATTTAATTCTTACAAATGAGAGTGCATAATATCGATTTGTAAGAGCGTGAACACATATGTATAAAATACTTAAAGTTATTTCTTCTAAGTAGTAATACTTTGACATCCTTATTTATAAATATATAAACGTGCACATGTCTATTAGACGGTAATATAAACATATAACATACCATATATAAAATAAAAGCTAACATTTATAAGAAACTTTTAAATGCTCTCTTTATCTCTCTTTCTCTTTATCTTTCTCTCTCTCTCTCTCTCTCTCTCTCTCTCTCTCTCTCTCTCTCTCTCTCTCTCTCTCTCTCTCTCTCTCAAACCTGTTTTCATCATATTAGTTTGGAAAAGAAATGGTTTATGAAGTATTACTTTGTATAAATGTAATGCAATCTGTTTAAAAAAAAGAAATACTATTTGGGTTAATTTACGATGATCATTTCTAAAGTAAAAAGTGTAAGCACATAACATTGACTTAATATGAATGAGCGTGCGTATGTATGTAGTATTTATTACATGTAGACGCACAGAACGAGCATAATAAGTATAAAAAGCAACAGATGCGAGGTTACTGCGTAAGAAATATGCAGTTTACTAGTGCAAAGATGCAGTGCATGTAATTAATTTCATCGTGTGTTATTTTCTCAAATCATATGCTGAGTGTGTCGGATGAAGCCAAAGTACGCCTATGGATGCTGCCCGGTTGATTTTTCAGCCTTTTTCAAGCGTAAAATGTCCCAGATGTGGTGCACTATTAGATCTATTGCCACTGCAAACATACAATAACCAAAACCATGTATGCTTTTAGAAGATGCCATTAATTTTCTGCTTTATTTTAATGTTTAAAGCGCTGATAAGTTGAAAATAATATTATCTTTACACACCAGGCAGCATCCATAACGGCAACAAAATTTACTGAAGTATGTATAATTAATACATAATATAATATAAGAGGTGTCCTGAAAATCCAAACTTGCACCTAAACAATGTATATAATTTATTTCAACAAATTGTATTATTTACTTTTGTAAAATGATATCATTATTTTTATACGCGAATAAAAGTGATCACAATTTAATACTTAAATATTTACACGTCAGATGCAAGTTGGATAATTGTAGGATAAGCAGTTTATTATGATGCTTGCAAAAATTAAGTTTTCATAACTATTTACTCACTAAAAATAAATATATAGTAAAAGATTATCAAACAAAACTTAAATAAAATATGCTTATAAATATAACATTATTTATAAATAATCTGTATGTATGCAAAATGATCCAATTAATATCTTTATGATTTTCATCCAAATAAAGAATTGAAATGAATTTAATTTGTGATAATATTTTATCGTATTAAGAATTTGTTTGATTGCAATATCGAATTACTTGATATATAATATAAAAATAATTACCTGTATTATCTGCTCCTCTAGGGATAATAACATCAGCAAATTTTTTGGTAGGTAAACAAAACTCTTCAAATGCTGGTTTCACAAAGTTCATATATTGATTTAACACATAATCTAAATCTCTCCCTCTTTCATTTATATCTCTGGGTACTGAAATAACAATAATAATTATTGTATATAAAATAAGTATTATGAATACACACATGGTTGTTTGTATATTTACATATTATACTTATATAAAATTGAAAATTGATAAAATTGAAAATACCCCTTCTAGCCAATCTGGTGTCCGAGTCTGTATCGACGAATAACTTCATATGAAATAAGTCTCTTATTTTAGGAAAGTAAAAAACTAGAATTCCTTCGAACAAAACTACATCTGCATGGTATATTGTTGTTACTTGATTATTTATTCTAAAAAAAGACAAAAAATTATGTATACCCATTATAATTTCAAGTCATGTACATTGAAACACATACAAACTGTTGGTTCTGTAATCATATGCTGGTATTTGGCATCTGACGCCTGCAAGAATACCTTGCAGAGTCAGCAAAATCATATCATTATCGAATGCATCGGGATGATCAAAGTTGTACTGTCCTTTCTCGGCCTTTAATTTCTCAGCTGGTGTAAGTTCACGATAAAAACTATCTTGCGATATGCAAACAACTCGTCGTTGTATATGATCCATGGCAACTTGACCCAACTTTTCCATTATACGTTTACATACGGTTGACTAAATAGAACGAACAAATAAAATATCAATACGTTAATAAATATGCGTGTGTGTGTGTGTATGTGTGTATACATATATATATGTATAGTCACTTCATGATACTCTTGTTTCATTCTTTCTTTTCAGCATATTTATCTTAATTTCAACTTTAACATTTTAAAAATATTACTGACCTTTCCACTTGCTGTACCACCCGAAACTCCAATTAAAAAAGGAGTTTTACCCTCAACTCCATTCATCTTTCCATTTCCAAAAGACATTTTACGTGTTGTGCCAGAATTTATTGACATATAAGCCATCATTGAATACTTAAATAGATAATCTGTGAACAAATAATATAATTGGATCGGCGAAAGAGGATAACATAAAAAATACCAAATCTCTTTTTAACACTTTACAAGTGTCATATGTTATAACACATGAAAAATAGATAAGTACGCGCGCGCAGTACGCTGCATGCAGACATATTGTGTGTGTGCGCGCGCGCGTGCGCCTATGATAGTATAAAAAGTATGTAGAAATCGAAGAATGTAAAAATGTATACTAAATCTAATCGGTTATATATGTATGTATATATATATATATTTTTTCCATGTACCGAACATACGTTTATATATCGGAACTAAATATGTTGAATACACATACGGGAGTTGACTCTAATGCATGAATGACGCGATCACACGCCATTTTGTACCACGTGATTATAATTCGCGATAATAATGGAAAAAAATAGAATCTCTCCATTTAAATTAAATAACATGTATAATGCGTGTTTATTGCATATTGTGTGCATAAAATTTTCTAACGATTACATTTTCGACGTTATTTGTTTTGAAAGTTCCTAATAATGAGTATCGATAATTCGAAGAAAAATGTGTATTTAAAAAATTATCTCACCATGAAATATTATTGTTTTTGTTGTTCTTTTCGTTTTCTTGTGGTAAGAACTATCTAAGGATTATAATTATTATTTTTCAACATTTTTATTTTTATCAGTATCGACGATGACTTTTGGACTTTGTTAGATAAGATACATAAAAAATATATTTTCTAGTATTTTTATTATTAACTTGGCTGATAATAAAATAAATGAATTCTCAAATGTTTACTTTACTACAGAAAATTTCAAAGAACGTGCATACTAGACACTGTTCTAACATGAAGGGAAATTACAAAGTAAGTTATATTAATTATGTTTTAGTTTATAGATTCTCTTCCATTGCGTTATATACGTATGTTTAATCTTTTCCGTGATATTCGTTTTATATTTCTTCAAGCAATTTCATATTTTACATTTAATTTCATAGGATGCTATCAAAAAGTTAAAAGATCTTCAAAGTAATTCAAATTATCTCAAAGGTGTTGTAAACAATTCAATAATGAATTCTGCCAAATTGGAAGATACAGAGAAATATTTAATTAGGTAAACTATTATGCATATTTCTTTCTTTTAATGTTTAATTTTTATCAATACGAATTTTAATAGAATATTTCAGCATAATAATTCATTGAACTAATAATATATGACAACATTTGGTAGGTCCGGTATTAATTTGGAGCAATTGAATGATCTTTCTGTTATACATGTAGCTGGTACTAAAGGAAAAGGCTCCGTTTGTGCTTTTGTAGAAGCAATATTGCGGATTCACGGATTTAGAACAGGTTTCTTTAGTTCGCCTCATTTAATTACCGTTAGAGAACGATTAAGGATAAATGGTTCTCCTATAAATGAAACAGATTTTGCTTATTACTTTTGGAAAGTATATAATAAATTAGATAATACGAAGGAATTTGAATCAGACATACCAATGTATTTCAAATTTCTTACTATTTTAATGTTCAACGTATTTTTATATGAAAATATAGACGTAGCAATTATAGAAGTTGGAATTGGCGGTGAATATGATTGTACCAATATTGTAAAAAATCCTGTATGCGTAGGTATAACAAGTTTAGGATTAGATCATACTTATTTGTTAGGAAATACAATAGAAGAAATAGCATATCAAAAATCTGGGATTTTCAAGCCAAATACAATTGCATTTACTGTCTCTCAAAAAGAGGAAGCTTTAGAAATTTTAAAAGAGAGAGCATTCGAAAGGCAATGCACATTACATGTTATACCATCATTTCAGTACTATAAATGGGAAAATGACATGTTAAATGATAAAATGTTAAGTCAGATTAAACAGCAAAATGCATCTTTAGCTATACAGTTGGCGGTTTGTTGGATGCAATCTCAAATTAATTCGAACTGTTCTTCAACAATTAATAATAATATATATAATAAGAAACTTTGTAACAACTTACAAGAAAATAATGTAGGAGCGAGGATTAAAAACAATCATCTGAAAAACCAAGAAACGATAGATAAACAAATTAATGCAAGATATATATCATTTGAAAAGATCGCAACTGCATTATCTACGTGTGTATGGCCAGGTCGACAACAGACTTTAAAAGGTACTTTATTTGATTTTTATTTAGACGGTGCTCATACTTTGGAAAGTATGGATTGTTGTATTTCTTGGTTTAACAATCAAATAGAAGATAGTTATGGTAATCGATATTTGATTTTTAACATGACTGGAAAACGCGATGCATCTTCATTCATGGATCGTTTGAAAACTATAAAATTTCATAAAATTTATTTCGTACCTAATATTACTGGAATATCAGATATGGATGATCTGACAACTGACGAAATAATAGATGAACAAAAAATGCAATGTAAAAAGTATTGCAAAATGTGGGGAGAACAGTCCCCGCATGTTATAAAAATTGTTGCAAATAACATCATGGAAGTTTTGAATGATATTAGGATGGAACATGTGCACCATGACGAAACTACTATTTGCAAAGATAAATCTCAGATACTTATAACTGGATCTTTGCATTTAGTAGGTGCAGCTCTTGCAATTTTAGATCCTAATTTTACAATGACTACCAAATTTTAAAATTTTTTATATATAAATAAAATATGCTGCTTAAGTGTGTGTAGAAATATTAAAGTTATATTATAACTATACAATATCGATACATTGCATTGTGATACATTTACAGTGCGTATAACAGAGTATTCTAAATGACTATTTGTGGACAGTTTATTTGTACTTTAATATAAACGGAATTATTTTTAATAAAACTTGAGTGTATATATAAGATAACAATTTTTTTTTTCTTTTTTTTTTTTTTTTTTTTTTTTTTTTATATAACAAACAGAACCGCTACATACAATTTTTGTTTGTTTTGTTTTGTTTTTTTTTTTTTTTTTTTTTTTTTTTTTTTTTTTTTTTTTTTAAGAATAAATGAACATTAGAAATAGGATATTAGAATTTTTCTAATAATTTATTTCAAAACATCTTTGGATGATATTCTAATTCAGACTCTGCTTCAGTATCCGATAAACTAAGGGACACACCTGTTCTTCTTCTAAGACGATTATCTTCAGGACTCTGTGAAAAAGATTTTATATTATAGATATCATTTAATTAGATTTATGCGTAAATATATTTAAGTATTAATTATAATCTTATTTATATAAATTTACAATTTTTTTTTTTAATTAACAGAACAAACCTGATCTAAAATACCGGCAGTGGGTTCAGAAGCGTAGCCTACTTCTTGTGCATCTTCCTCTAAATCTGCTTCATATTCTTCCATTTCATCCGAATCAGAATCAATGTCCAAATCTACGTATCGATTACCTCTTGATACTTTGCATACCATTTGTGCTAGATCGGTAAAAGTATAAGAAGAAACAGATAGTTGATTTTCTGCTTGTTTCCTTTCTCGTAAGGCTTTTGCATTTTCTCTGTCAGCGTTAAATCTTGGAAGAACGCCTGCTTTAGATTGTCCTTCAAAATATGTTTTTCCTGCATAGAGATGTGTGTACGTAAAATTAGCAGTTATTACGCGAGAGCCTTTACTCATAAAAGAAAATTCCATGGTATTCTTACCATGTTGGTATCCAACTTCTTTGATTTCATCAAAATTGGTAAACTGAAGGGTCTTGAATTTGTCAATAGGAGGTCTGATATATTCACAATAATCAGAATTCTTTACTTCCTCCAATTGTCTGACACAACTAACGTACGCTAATCGTGATTGGATATCTGGCAGATTAGGAACTTTGACTGGTGTTGCAAATGGATTCCAACGTTTCCACAATAACCACCACCCGGACAAAGAATCACCATAGTTTGTTAAATCAGTGTCATCTTGTGATCCAACATCGATAGCCAAGATGTGATGAGCTCCTTGTCTCAACATTTCGTCAGCTTAAAGAAAAAAGACGTAAAATTGATTTTAATTGATTTTAGAACGCAAACATGATAAAATGTAAGCATCACTTTTAACACGCTTTTATAGAGATAATACCTGGCACGTTATTAACATAACACCCGTCGACCAAAAGATGCCCATCAAGAGGATCGCAAATAGGAGGAAAGACACCAGCAATAGTCATACTGGCTCGAATGTATCTCCATAGTAAACCTGAGTTGACTTAGCTATTCAGAATTTGATAAATGCATCTTTTATCAACGGGAGTGAGCTTATAATGTCGTTTTTTCTTTTTTTTTTCTTTTTTTTTTTTCTTTTTCTTTTTTTTCTTCTACATTACCAAATCAAATATAACTACAAGATTTTAAGAAATATTTTTCTCAAACGAGCGTTACACTTAAATTGCAAAATCTGATGATACAAGTATGCAGCATTAGAAATATGTACATACAAGTATGTGTCAGAAAAATGTTTTATGTAAAAACGAAATAAATTTACTTTAAATCTATTTATCATCGGTTAGAAGCATTTGTAAATTTTTATCAACGATAAAATTATTTATTTTTCTTATTCGTGTACAAGGTCTATATAAAAGTAGATTTATACGTTTTTACATAAAACAAATTTAGTCATATTATTCAAATATTACCTGGAAGGTTATTGACGTACCCGCCGTCGAGTAGGAGATGGCCATCAACAGGATCACACATGGGTGGCATATAACCAGATAATGACATCGAAGCCCGAATGTAACGCCACAGCGATCCTAAACACGACGAATTATTTCTTTTTTTCTTTTTTTTTTTTTTTCTTTTTTTTTTTTTTTCTTTTTCTTCACATTTTTAATTTGTACAAACTACAATTCTTCCTGTAATCTTCTATAATTTTCGAAGGAATAAATTTGCAATATCAAGCAAGTTTTTAAACTCTTTGTCATCATGATTATAAATAGGAGTATACAGGAAGGCATCCATAATGATAAAAACGTTATGTTTCCAACTAGAATGAAGGAAGTAATAATTTTGCCAATTTATAATTCATCGAAAGCGATAAAACGGAGAGTACGTCAACAATAATTATCAAAAAAGCTCACTCCCCTAATCAAGGAAACTTGTTACATATAATATTCTATATACACACAAGATATATGTATATATACGTATATATATATATATATATATATATATATATATATATATATATAGATAGATAGAGATAGAGAGAGAAAGAGAGAGAGTAAAAAAATAAATGCTACAAGCAGATCTAAAAAATATCCATGTATCACATAAGAATGATACTTTGAGTTATACAGTATTATTTAACTAAAAACTATCATCTTAAATATTTAATATATTTTTGTTAAGTACAAACCATGTGTATGTGTGCGCATGCAGGAATCAGTAATATCAGTAGTGATAGTGAAAAATGGAAGCCATAGATCTTCTATATAAGTATCTCCAAAAGTTGTTTGAATAGTTTTATTAAAATCTTTGCCCGAGAACATTGATGTCATAGGATACGTTAAGTCCAAAATTTGTCTCCACCATTGGGTCATTTTCTGAAAGAAAATATAAAATAATAATAAAATTAATTTGTTAATAATTCCATAAAATATAGAATACTCTTCTATATTATGTTGTTTTACCTTAGACCATTCACGAGCCTTTTGTGTTGTCGTTGTTATATTTTTTTCCATACACCACAATGCACCCATAAAAGCACCGATACTAACTCCGCCAACCATATCTATTGGAATACCAGCTTCTATAATAGCTTTAAGCATTCCAACATGCGCTGCACCTCTAGCACCTCCTCCTCCAAGTACTAAGCCAACCGAGGTACCTGTCAACCAACGTGCTAATCTACTAAAATCGCTGTGTACGTTTGGCTCAGACATTAATACTTTTGAATATAATTCATTCTGAAAGAAAAATATATTTTCAAATGGTATATAACTCTTATTTATAATGAGAAAAAGGAAAAGAAGAAGAAAACAAAAAAAGAAAAACGAGAAAATACAAATAAGGAAAAAAAAAAACAAAAAAAAAAATATATATATATATATATAATTACAATTCTATATTGAGATTTTCTAGTAAACATTCGTTTTGGACATTGAATGTGATGATGACTGGAGACCCATGATCTCATGTTTAACCACTGTACAGTATTCGTAGGCCGTTGTCCACTTTGTTCCTTATGTAAAAGCACTAATTCCTTTTGCGTACGCATGACCAAACGTTCTACCTCACGTTCAGTGCGTCCTATAGACGGAGGGCGATCACCTAAACCTACTATCAATATACAGTCAGCTTGTCGTACACATCTTTGAGTCCATAACGTATATGTTGAATCACACTGATATAAAGAAATTCGATGTTGATCCTCTTGTTGTGCTAGCCATGATGTTAATCTGTATTCATTCATAGGTTCCATAATTGTGGTACCCAAGGTCTGTTTACATATAAGCACATTGATTATATACTTGAAATCATTTGATCTAGAATATGTACACGAAATAGTATCGTATAATTATTAAAGCGTACCTTTCGAACAACATCCGAAGTCAATCGTAGACAAGGTCCAATAGCACACAATGAATGATATAATTCATACGTAAATGCAGTTAAAGGAACATCGTCTGATACAGGAACTATAGCTACTGTTGAGAAGTTCACTTGTGCTGGTCTCGCATCAACTGTTGCAGCTGCTCTTCTATATATAACGTATTAAACGTATATAGTATTAAATTGAAAAAAGTATATATTAATCACATATATTGGATTACTTACTGGGTATCATTGGCACCATTTTTAGTATGCGCTTGTTGCCACGTACCCAATATTCGATGACCAAGTAAATTGATAAGCCTTGTTACAACAATGGGATATCGTAATTTGATTACATTAAATAAACCTTCAGGTAGTTTTGCCAATTCAGAATCTCGAACTGCCATAACAGTAGTAGATCTGGGGGTCTGCGTGACCATCTCTACGATTCCCACTAAGTCTCCTTTTCCATATTCTGCGACGAGTTCTTTTTTCCCATTTTTATAAGTAATTACAGATCTTAGTCGTCCACTTAAGACTATAAAAGTTGAATCCGATTCATCTCCTTGACGATAAACGGCTCTTCCACTTTCAAGAAACAACCAATCCAAGGCAAAGTCCACCTAGAATAAAAATATATCATTGGGGGTAGGGAGAGAGAAAGGAAAAGGAAAAGGAAAAGAAAAAGAAAAAGAAAAAAGAGAAATTTTCCATTAGAAATAATTATGAGAAATTTTATGCGTACCTGCCTCACAAAAGGACTTAGTCGTCTGACGACAGTATGAGCTACATGCAATACAACAGTAGGTTGTTCACGCATGATTGCAAAAAAGGTGGATTTGCTAAGTAGTGCAATCCGACTGGGATGTTTTGCTCTAATCGTATAAAAAGAAGGTTCTCCAGTCAATACCGCTAAACCTCCAACTATTTCCCCCTGATGTGCACTAAACATATGAACTTCTTGTCCTGCATCACGACCTTCCGGGACACGTTGACTGACTATGAGAGAACCAGATAATACATATACAAGCGCAACATCCTAGAAAGAAAAAGGAAATATTTCGCCATATTATATTTTATCATATTCATTTGTAAATGAAATATACAACTCGATTGAATTAATTGCGTACTTTATGAGATTCTTCTTTCATTAAATATGTCCCCGCTGGTACTTCTTTCAGTTGAATTTTTCCATCCTTCAGAACGTTATCATCTTCCAAACCAAGTTCTTTAACGAATGCTTCAGTTGCAATTTGCACAAGTTGTGCCTCATCCAGCTGTTGCGTTGTTTCATTGATAGATTTCTTTTTAGGTGGATGAACACTTCCTGTATGTATAATGTCAGGTTGAGTATTCTGCGATTGAGCGCTTTGGGAGGATTGATGTCCTCCCGTCATTGATGAATTTGCCCAATAAGTGTCACATTCTGGTACGGTAACAGAAGTGCTCTGACCTGATTGAGAGTTTTGAGTTGGATTTTTCCAATCGTGAGTAGTTTTTGATCTATAAACATGACACATGTAATAAATATTTCTTATACGATATATACGAGTAATTATATACTAGTTCTTGTATAATAGACCTTCTATTAACTATTATAGGTATAGGCTGAGAAGTATTAGCTTCTTTATGTATACTATCATTTCCATCGTATTGATCCAATGCAGTTGCTAAATTCATACTACTAGGCATAGTGTCCGCGTTTTGCGCAGCAAAATTCTCTCTCGTTCTTGATCTAACAGGTGAGCCAGAAAATGAGCTTTGTTTTTTCTTATGAGTTCCTTGATTAACTAATTCTGCAGAAAGACCTAAATATTGATGCAATGCTGTAAACGTTACACGTTGAAGACGAACCATAATGACTTGGATAACTCGAACAAATGCATCTGGATGATCCTGAAAAACCTGTCAGGTTAAAAGCATTCAATGTAAGTTTAAAACATTTACATACATATACATATACATATACATATACATATACATATACATATACATATACATATATATATATATATATATATATATATCATATATGTATTACACTTATATGTCATTTATTTTACCTCTTGAAAAGCACTCATTGGTAATTTGACCACAACAGAATCTTCCACGGCTCTTGCAGAAACAGTTTTATAAGTACTCGTGTGACCGGTAAGTACATCAGTAAAACTTAGAAGACTGGTTACAGATTCTCCAGTTTTTACTAGTTTTAAAGGAATTTGAGAACCATCGGGTCCAGTTATGAATACATTAACAAGACCCTGTTGTACGATGAACAGATTCTCATCTGGGTCACCAATTTTAAATAAAATACTTCCAGCCGGTAAATTCATAATTTCCGTATGTTTACATAATGTTAGAAAAACAGGTTTCTCAAAATGACCGAATACTCTGATACTTTGTAACATGTACAAAGCATCAGGAGGTACTCTATCTCCTGGACCATGATCTTCTTCTAGATACTCCGCTGGTGGTTCTAATACCTGATAATATTAAAGACAATATTATAGATAAAGTATATTTAGATAAAGAATGTATGTATATTACAAAAATTTCAATTCACCGTACATACCTTCAATTGTTGAGGCACAGATTCTTTTTTCAATTGCAAGAGTCTGCGTGCAAATCTCATAACAGCTCTTCTCTTTTTCCCTTGACCAGTAGGATGTACTTGTCCACCTATAGATTTCACTTTGCGTAACATTTTTCTTCCATAGAATAAAACTTTGTCTCTTTTTCTGAATCTTGGCTTGCCACTGCCTACTACAAATTCCTTGACCTCTGGAAGGAACTCCTTGTTTTTCCATTTCCGTAAAATAATTATTGTTATTATCAATAGAATCAATATAACTGATAAAATAATTATATATAGGGTCTTTGAAGTTTGATATCCTTCGATAAATGATCCGATCCATCTCGAAAAGGCGTATGATCCAAAATTCTCATTGATTTTGCTAAATAATTCAACTATCTGTAGAAAGAGAAATATGCATACGTTATTGATTAAAATTATTTCACACTTTTATATAACTTTGATCATTACATCTATTCTTATTAATTTATTATGAAAGTGCAATATAAAGGAAGAAATTAAAATAGATATATTATCATAATAATAATGATAATAATAATAATAATAACAATAATATTGACAAGTATCTAACATGCACAACCTCCATAATGAGTAGTCATCTCTTTTTCTGTTCTGCGCTTCCACGATGTAGGAATATGAATGAGGAACGTCACGAGAACATAAGTGGAAAAGATAGACGAAGCAGTGCGGATTGAAGGAGACACTGCAATTAAAGTGATCGTGTGTGCAGAGAGAAAAAACAAATCTACTCTTAATCTGTAACCTTTGATACTTCGTTCGAGTCAACCAACGCCATTTTGATTATTGCGTGATACGCATACACACACACACACACACACAGAGCACAGGCACACAAAATAGCACAAGTATATCACGTTCATTCTTTAAAAATCTCCAATAAGAATTCTAATAAGTTGATTATAAGAATACCAAAATATCAATTTGATAAAGAGTTACTTATATACAAGATAATTATTTATTAAATATCAAATTGTTAATAAAAAATAATTAAAAGTATATTAACATTGATCGCTTACGTTAACCATTTGCTCCTTCTTTTATCGACCAACGTATTATTACACTGGCGTCTTATATGCTCGTGGTTTCATTTCTAACAGTAGTATAGAAAATTACGAGCTACCATAATAAGAAACATAAAAAATTAAAAATAACTTTTGCAATGTTTCGCCTGCAGATCGGGAATAGAATATACGCGTAGTATTCCCTGTTTGTCGTAAAAGTCGACTGATAAATAAGGGATTGAATGACAACCAAATCTCATAAAAACCTATTTACGAAAACTTTAGGAAGAAAAGCTTGAACTTTTGGATTGTACATTTTATTCGTTTTCAAATGGACAAACCTCATGTACATTGGATAACATATCACGAGTAAGTAGATATAATTATAAATAATATTACAATCGATATATTAATATTAACCGCGTTTTTCATTAATTTAAGGAATTATTTTATAAAAATGTACGATCGAAGAATGACATAATTTAATGCATAAAAATGAATGGTAAATATATTTTATAGATAAATGAATTATACATGTATATATATATATATATATATATATATATATACATATATACGCGTGCATACGCGCGAAACTAATTATGCGATAGTGATTGGTTAATCAAAATATAAATAATTTCATTTCGAATTTGTTTATGAAATGATAAAAAATTATTTTTCTTTTTTTTAAGAGAAATAATGAATAATTATAACAAAAAGAAGAATGCATAATTTGAAATAAAAGCGAGATGGAAAAAAGTTTGACATCGACCAATCAGAAGGCTCGATCGGCCATCTTTTGCGCAGAAGTAAAGATTAGTTGTATGCGTCGCCGATAGAGCGAGCTTGAGCCGAATTCCGGGTGATTTTGGACGAGCAGTCGGGTCCGGTCAGTCAGTGGTTACGGGACGACATGTTGGACGTATTTCTGTGATCGCTCGCGCGCGATAGTATTCGTGGCGCGACTTTTCATGTTTCTCTCGTGCGTGCCAGACGATAGACGTGTCCGAGGACAACGTCGATTAATGTGAAGTGTATTTGTGTGAAAGGAAAGCCACTTGGAGAGTTTGGCTTTACCAAACATGAGCTGGGGTACCGAGCTTTGGGTAAGTCTCTTTATGTCTTTTATATATATATATATATATATATATATATATAAACGTGTACACATACATATGTATATGTATATATGTGTTTCTTCTAGATAGAATATTTCTCTCTCTCTTTCTCTCTGGTCTTCAAGTATCTTTGTATCTCACTTTTCTTGTTTCGTGAGAGTAACAGAAAGGTATATATATGTATATATATATATGTATATGCATATATACGGTCATTCCTCCTCTCGAGCTACTTCTGGAGAAACAGTCCGGGCGCGTTTCGCCGACACGTAATCATGGTGTGTATCCGAAAAACCAGTTCGCGGTACCTCGTTCCGACTACTTCGCCGTGCAGGAGTGTTTCGCCTTTTTGGTTGCTAGCCGTGGGCGATGTTCCTCTCTTCGTTTCTCTCTCTCTCTCTCTCTCTCTCTCTCTCTCTCTCGTTCTTTCTTCCATTTCGCTTTTACCCTCTCTCTTTTTCTATCTGGCTCCTTCTCTCCATCTCAATCGGGCGTGTGTGTAGTCTGTGCTCGGACTATCGTTGCCGTCGTCATCGCGATGCTCCTCTTGCTTCCATTCCCATGAAATCTCAGAAGGATACATCGTCTGAATATATAGCTTGCCGCTCGTTTTGTGACAGCCAAGAACGCCGCGTCGCGTTTTCTCTCGATTTTTTGAAGAAAATTCTTTTCCTCAGCTTCCTTGAAATCGCACCTTTGAACTTTTTTTCTTTTCTTCTTTCTTCTTTTCAAGAAAACTTGTTTAGGGTTCGAATCACGCCAAGATGAATTTTCAACTTTTTTTAATTTATTTTTTTTATCTCTTTCTTTCTCGTTCCGATGGAAATAAATTACTATACGATAAGGTTATAAGACTGACGCGTCCAAAGAACAATATCTTTCTTTAATCTTTCTTTGATTTGAAAATTTCTTATATATTTGTTAGAAAAAGGTAGAGAATGAGACATCGGTATATTATATATATAGTCGTGTGCGTTGAAATTTTACGCGATAACGCGCAGTACATATATCGTTCGAGCACATCGACATCTAGTACGTTACGCGAAACCGTGTGGAACGAGCAATCAAATCAACGCTTTTATGTATGTATGTAATACATAGAGATATGTGTGTACACAGCAGTATACACACGCACCGTATATATATATATATATGTATATAAATGTATGTATGTATGTATGTATGTATGTATGTATGTATGTATGTATGTATATAGAATATAAAGTGAGGTTAGAGATTGACGGATAGAGATTTTTGCATGAGCATTCTCAATTGATTGCTGGAGGAGGGTCATGGAGGATTAGGAGGGAATGGATAACCGTATAAAAACACGCAATTCTTATATTTTTATTTATTTCAAATGTTATTCACATTTATTTCTCTTTTTCTTTCCGTAATGACGTCAAATTCTCTTATCTACATTACCTCGAATTCTATTGTCGCGATATACATATATAGCGTTTATTTCTCTCTCTCTCTCTCTCTCTCTCTCTCTCTCTCTCTCTCTCTCTCTCTCTCTCTCTCTCTTATCTCTCTCTCTCTCTCTCCTTGGTGATTGATTTAAGCGCGTGCCATGCGAGTGAAGTCGAGATCTTTGATACATGTATATCCAATAACAATGTTTCGTTGAAAAAGTGATAGAATTTTATATGGAAAATATTTCAAAATTCATAGCGTTCGAGATAAACACGATAGAGAGATGTATACGATCGATTAGTAAATGGAAGACCGAGAGGATAGGTCGATCTCGAAGTAATCCGAATCCGAATTCTCGAGGAGAGAGGTCGGCGGAAGGGAAGAGGCATGGTTTACGCGTGAGTAACTTGTAGTGATTCTATCGGTTCTTCTTTCGCACGCGTAGGTCGTTCCAAATTCCTTTGATCGCCATATGTATATACGTCGTACGTAGTACATGTTTGTATATATCTCTTCGCCTTTCTTCTCAAATTCGACGAAAATACGTTTCAAGAGGGAGAGAGGGAGAAAAGCTTTTGTTAAGATGCAAATTTTCATTCGACTTCTCTTCATTCGCATCGTATTATATTTCCATCGATAATATTCTTGATATTTTCTTTCGATTTGAATATTTTATCTCGTAGTTTCGAAGAATAAGTATTTATTTCTAGGTTATGTCGTTTCACTTTTGTCCATCTTGCTGTTTCGAAGAAGAATTATTTATTTCTAGGTTAACTCGTTTAATCCCTTTGTGATTTCTTGTGAGTCTCAAAGATTTCTAGAATATTTTCCAAAATAAATTGCTACTTCGGTCAATAAAGACCGTCGTTAGTTAAATTCATAATAATTTACGCACAAATAAGCATTATCCTAAGATCTCCGCTTATATATTTATTTATTTATTTATTTATAGACGTTTATTATATTTAATATTGAATTTAAATAATATTCAAATGATGTCTTTTGAACATTCCAATTACGTCGCTATTATCGAAGGATTATAACAATCGTCTTCGAAAGGAAGGAGATAAACGATCCTTCATCTCTCTTCGTAATGAGAAATAAAATGCAGAAAGAGAAAGAAGCAGCGTACGATTACCGTTGAACTCTATTGTTCATTGCATCGTAAATTCTTAAGAAGGATCGTGCACCTGCAGCTTTACGCATTATTGCAAGGGCAACCAGAAGATCGACCATTACAGGAGAAACCCAAGCATTTTTATCTTTCTTTCAAAGGTTTCTTCTTTTCAAATTCTAGATAAATGAATTCTTCAACTAATACTTACTTTATTTTCCTTTTTGTGTATTTTCATTATTTAAAGTGTATATGAAATCGAAATTTTTTTTTTTTTTTTCCTTACGAAACGAGGATACTTTATAGGTTAGCTTTATGATTATAAGACTGACTCGAATCTTTTCAAATTTACCATATTTCTTACGTCGAATTTTCAATGATTTAATACCTTCGAATGAATTTGTGCAAGGATCTTATTTTGAAATTTAACAAAAAGATCAATAATAAAATAATAACTATAATGACCAATGAGATAACTAATCGCTGATATAATGATTGAAATAATTATATAAGAAAAGCTTTTTTTGTTTTTCAGTTTTAAAATATTGAATCTAATAAAATGTAGTTTAACGCCATATATACATACGTATTATCCCCCATATATATATATATATATATATATATATATATATATATATCGATCATCGATCTAACAATAAGAATGAATCGAGCGAGCGAGCATACACCTTGCATGAAATTTCTTCTCTCGTTCAATGTCATCCTCGTACTGCTCCCTCCATGATGACGATGTGTGTGTACTCTTTATAAATAATTCATTCTTGCATACCGCATCATCATTTTTGTTCTCCTACTGATGATTCTTTAGCACCAAGTATATGCATTCTTGTATTTCCTTTGATTTAATTATCTCCATTTTAAATAATTAATGTTGAATATTACAATAGTTATAAACACAAATATCTTTAAGATTCCTTTGAAATTCGTCCATATTTTTCCTATAAATGATAATAGTCGGCAAAATATTCCAATTTTATATGAAAATAATTGTGCGTTAGACGGACAAAATCTTTTCATTCGCAAAAAGAATCCATTTGTATTTTGAAATATGGCGGGCCGTCACGTGATCTCTATCGAAGCGCCAATTTTAATAATAATATAGGGATACCTAGAGATCAATCCTTTTCTATTTCTCTGACTATACCATAAACGAGTATTATCACGATTCATTGACGTTTTACTTGTAGGCACTCGTGATTCATGATACAGGACGCGTTCATGTTTAACCGCTAGTTGAAGACAGCGTTCGTTGAGAAAGAGCATATAGGTACACGTACGAGGGGCACACCTTTTTGATGCTTTTCAAGCTAGCGAATCGTATTCACCATTCTTTTTTATTTTTATTTTCTCCCTTAATCTATATTCGATCGAATCAACTCGCACGGTTATTAATCCTTTAAAACACACGTTGTCTATTTTATTATATTTATCGATAATATGATTTTTGGTTATGTTCATTGAAAAGATTTTATGATTCGTCGAAATATGATCGGTCGAGATCTGGTCGTTTTTTCTGGTCGATCAGATATTCTCTCGATAGCCATTGCGGAGGAGCCTACTCGAATGAACAGAAAACTACCGCAACGTCGTAAAAGCTGGCGATTAGTAAATTGGAATGTCAGAAATACCGGTACGTTGGAAATACTAGTGAGAGAAAGAGAGAGAGAGAGAGAGGGAGAGAGAGAGAGAGAGAGGAGAGGGAGGTGGGCCTTACCAAGAAGGCATCTACGGACATTCTCTCTCGTTCCTGTGCATGTGCGCGCGTTTAACATGAGAGTGGGGGGGAAATATAGTAGAAAAATATGTTACAGCGTGTAGTTACATCGTTATCGAGTTCGTAGTTAAAAATAATGTCATTAATTCTTATCCAAATAATTTCTTTTTACAATTTTTAAAAGGCAACAAGATATTTTTAATCAAACTGTATGTTTTTCTTTCGAATTTCGCGCTTCGACGTCGCGATATCACGTGACAACTGCACCCAACGCCATATTTCCAAAATGTCCACCAGACACGCGATTATACGAAAATAAAATTTTATTTTCGATAAAAAAAAAAGAAAAAAAAGAAAAAAAAAAGAGGATAGGCTAGATTGGACGCAAACGTCGAATTTAAATTACTTACATTTGCAATTTTATTTCTTTTTATTTATGTTTTTGTAATAATTCTTCAAGACGTAAAAAATTATATATATATATGTTCGTCCATGACATCGACAACTTTTTCCGGATCACCTACGCACGACTACTTTATATAGTAACACACCTCCACGGATTTATTATACTGCTCGCGGAGAAAATGGAAATCAAATGACGACTAAGGAAAATCGTGAAGGTTATGATGCACGTGCAACTTTCTCCGTAACAACGAACGAAATTATAGGATTGTCGTTTCTAATGTTTGGAATGCATTTCAAAGTTCTTTTTCATGACGTAAGAACTATGCGACGAAATATAATGATCTCCTTGACAACATTAGATAGTTTTTAAAAGATAATTTGGAAAAAATGTAAAAACAAGGAATATTCAACACGTTGAAGAAAAAATATTCTAATAAAATTCAAGGGAAAGAAAAGAACAAGGATAAAAAATATATGAATATCATGAAGTACGTTCGCATTTATAAAAATCATTATGTATTCTCAACATAATGTCTGCGCGGTTAAAAGTGAAACTCGTTTGACCAAAAGGCAATTGGCGAACGTGGACGAGCCAATAAAAATGAACGAAGAAACGTACTTGAAATCTCTAAAGAATATTAACGCACAGGATCATGTAGAAAAGTGTCGATAGATCGATATTGATGATTTACTTCGTATCTAATTACGGTCATAATACTCGGCATATATTTTTCTCGTCTTCGTACCGATCGTCTTATCTCATTTTCTTATCAATAGTCACATACAATCGTTTCTTTTTCTTTTTCTCTTATACGTACTAAGAAAATTATTTGTGAAATTTTTTTTTCTTAATCGTCCCTTTTTTATCTTTCCCCCTTTTGATATAGGCATATTTCAAAACGTGGAGATGCACAAATTTTATTCTTTCAACACACACTGTTATTTTTCTTTAAAAGATTATATATTTTTTCAGATTATATAAAGTATAGTAGTAAAAGGATAATGACGATAGCAAAAAATAATAATAAAAATAAAAGAAATTCAAAGGCGCAATGTAAAAAATTAATTTTTTTTTCGTTACGATTAAATCGATTAATTTTCATGATCGGAAGACCGTGAACGCATCGTAAAAAAGAAGTTTATTCCCCATGAGATATCTGGCACGTGTAGGAGAACATGGGAAAGGAAAAAGAAGTAACGTAGCGAGACTTTCCTCCTCCTCCTCCTCCTCCTTCCCCCTCTTTTGCGAGAGAGAGAGAGAGAGAGAGAGAGAGAGAAGAACGGTATGTAACGATCGTTCTGCGTTACGATGCGCATCCTCGCATACGTACGTGCGCGATTCTAAATACGCAATCGCGTAAAGATGTGTGTGCCGTGCATTTTAACGTTGACACCATCCATGGGATTAGCATCACAGCCTCCGAACTACGTGGAAAATTGCTTAGTGTTAAATATATAGATACGTATAGGACGTTGTACTCTAATCTAATTTTTCTTATTTTTCATATTATTGAAAAATATTGTTAAACGGGATAAATTTTCTTTCCCAAAAATTTTTTTTTTTATAATCACGTATATATTTGGAGCATTTTTATTTTTATGCATAAAGATATTTGCAGATATGAAGTTTATAAGAAAAGTTTTGCGAAAGTCTTGATGTCTTTTCTCGTCATTCCCACGTTCTGTATATAGGAGAATAAAAGCAACCTAGTAAAGTGTTACGAATATTTGCGTGTGTGGATATTGTGTAGTAGGTTCGACAAAAAATTTTTGCTCATTCCCTTTTTCTTTTCTTTTATTTTATTTGAAAATACTTTTTAAAAATAATACAGTTTCATTCAGAAATAATCTGTATAGGTATATTTTTATTTTTAATAATAGTTATCGATAAATTCCCCGCTCATGGTCACGTGCCAAACTACGAGAAATACATTACTTTACAAGTTATTGAAAAGATTTGGCGGGAAAAATGGTTGCAGACGAGGTATCTCGTTGAAAGTATTTTTATAGACTTCTTCTTCTTCTTCTTCTTCTTCTTCTTTTTTTAATCTTTCTTTCTCTTTTTTCATCTTTTTTCGATTTAAAGAAGATGAAGTTTGTTCTTTGTGAAGCCGAGGATACATACGGAGAAGAAGGAGAAGAAGAAGAAGAAGAAGAAGAAGAAGAAGAAGAAGAAGTGGTGAGGCGAAGAAATCTCAGGGATTCCGGAGAGAGGAGAGGCACTCCTTCTTTCCTTAACTAGCGTGTCCCTCTTGCAGCCGGTTTTCGCTCTTCTGTGCTTCGAGACTAGCTGCGTCAGGACCGCATTTCCTTTTTATTTATTTTATATATATATACACACACACACACACACACACTTTTTTGTTCATTCTTCCTTCTTTCTTCCAGCATCGGTCGAGGTGGTCACCATTGAAACGATAAATAAAATGATATTTTTTTAGTTTATTTATTTATTTTTTAGAAAGAAATATTGAAATTCAATCGTTTATTTTGTCTTAACTGTCGGAGGGCAACCTTGATTCTTTTTTCAAGATCGTTCTCATAGAATCTTTCATGAAATTTTAATTCTTTGTCGAATATAAATGAGATTTTCATATAAATAGAAACATTTAAATATGTACGTGCATATAAGGTAACGTAGAAGTTATTTTCGAATAAAGTAGTAGGTATTAAAAATTCGTGGTTTTTTCGTTTCGCACCATATTTCAGAATCGAAATAAATTCGATTTCTATGTGAAAAACTTTTGTCCATTTAGTGGCGTACACACAATAATTTTCAAATAAAATTGTACTTTTTAAAAGTCAGCTTTATAAATGAAAATGTATTTATTTTTTAATTATACCTCAATGAAACTTAACTTTTCTCTTTTATTTTTCAATCCTTTTTTTTTTTATTTTATTTTTTTTTATTTCTTTAATGAAACGGCTTAATTTAATCAAATCTTCATCCTCTTCGTTTTGTAGTCGTCGTTAAGTTAGTAAGCGAGTGCGTTCTTGGCTGCCTGGTATTTATAGAGATTCGGCGCGATGCGTGGGCGGGGCAAGTTCGCAAGAGTATACTCTCTCTCTTTCTTTCTTTCTTTCTTTCTTTCTTTCTTTCTCTTAGATATCTGCATCGGTACTTGAATGAGAAAAGAGAGGGGCGAAAAAAACAAAAAAGTACAACCTTCACATATCGCGTGCGCATATGTGTGTTGACATGCAGATAGACACGATAGAGAACATTCAATGAACATGATGCCAAGCAATAATTGTATAACATTAGGAACATACTCACGGGATGAGCCGAAAAGTTCTCAGCTGAGTTTAAAAAATCAATTACTCTCTTTCTTTTCCCATTTTTTTCAAATTTTCAACACACGTATGTATATGTAGGTATATATAAAAAGAGACACGATAAAATTCTTTGAACATGATACCTAGCTTTGTGACAGAGGAAGCATGGTTGGAGAAAGGGTTGAAAAGGTTCCTTGACACGATACATGTAACTCTGTGCTGTGGCGATACGCTACGTTGCATATCTCTCTCTAGCTTTGTAGTAAGCGATTCGTTGTAATCGTATGAGCAACGAAGCCCATCGTCTTTTCTCTGAGCAAACTTATCGGGTTTTGGTCTTAGAATTGCTTTCTTTACTTTCTCGAAGCGTGTTAAGGACACTGACGATCAAATGCAAATCATATACATATTTAATATATGTACACACGCGCACACATTTGTATATCAGGAAGAAATGCGATCATTTTCTCAATTCGCATGGTCGCAGCAATGTATTACTTGTGATTATGGTTAGTCTGAAATAAAAAAAATAACGACGCGATCTTTCTCGGTTACTATCTAGACTTTAACGTTACATGTGCCATCGCGCACGCACGTGTGTGTACGTATGTATATATACTTGTTGTTTATTCTCAACGTCAGTACAGATGTAAAGATACGTAGTTGGTTTTGCGTAAGAAGTCAAGTGTACGATTTTTTTTTTTTTTTGGTTCATTCTAAGATTCGATAAATGTAGTTCCAATACATCATTTTATATTATTAGTATTATATACTTGTTTTCTTTTTACTTGATTTGTTTTCTTTCTTTTTTTTTTTTTTTTTTAGCGCACGCGTGCGTGTCCGTGTAAGAGATTTAGTTCGGTCAGTCGATAATGTAAGAAGTTTTAATAAAAGATATTGAAAATACCGTAAAACATATTATTACAACTGAAATGATAATAATATTAATGGAATAATTGAAAGCATATATAGTGATTCATAAAAAAGAAATAGAATAGATCGGACCCAATATTATTACATTAACCAATAAATCATATCAATATTTTTCCATTAAAAAATTATAAATTATACAGAAAATTATTTATTTGCATATAAAATATCGCAATTTTCGAAACTGTTTTATTAATCGATACAAGAAATCTTTATTTTCACTACAATTATAATTTATAATTTATATTTTATTTCGTCCAAAACGGCATAATATCGCGTTCTACATACAACGAATAGCTCGAAATAACATCTACGTTCGTTCGTTCTTATCAACGGCTGCATCCTCCAGAGATATCGAAGTTGAGATTATTTTGAAGTTCCACTTCATTAAACCGCTCTCTCCTCTCTCTCTCTCTCTCTCTCTCTCTCTCTCATTCTTACTATCTCATTTTCATGTTAAAACAACGTTAATGACAAATTACTAACTGTGGATGATTCACAAGAGAGTTACTATTAAAAAAGTATACGAAAAGGTCGATGATTCATTGGTGTATGTATGTATATATAGATATGAAATGATCACGTAGCCTTCGAGATAACGAGTGTACGACCCCATCTCATGAAAAAGTGATTTCGAGTAGAGATGGAGTTTGACGAGGGCACTCGACACTTTGAGAACGGGGTTGTATCGTTTATTCGTATCAGGGTGTGTAATATGTATTTTGAGAATGAATATAAATAGTTGAATCAATCAACCTCTTGCAATATAATTCGATCAAGTTGAGAGATGTCAAATCCAAAATTATTAGTACTAAAAGAAAAACGTGTATTTTCGTGTTTCACTTAAATTTTTTTACAGTTATTTAATTTAAATATGTATTTCATTGAAGATTAAAATTCAATGATCACATTGATGCGTCATAAAAAGTAATTATGAAATTGTGATTCGTAGAGTCAAACGTATCATTGCGTTTAAATTTAGCACCAGAGAAATAGTAGTATAAAACGTAGATTCTTTATGGAAATTTCTTAGACGTTACTGCCTAGCCTGTCTTTTACCTCATCCTCGAATTATATTCTTGCGCCATTGATGGAACGATTTCCTAAGACATCTGCGTCATCCATTTTGATCGAGCTTTCGTCAAACAGAATGAGACAGCTTGCTATGTTTTATCATCCTCCCCTCTCTCTCTTTTAAAATAATAATAATAATAATAATAATAATAATAATAAGAAGAAGAAGAAGAAGAAGAAGAAGAAATAGGATCTTTCATTTTGCGTGGGGACCCCTTGTCCTTTGATACGTCCCTGTTGTGTTGCAAGCTTCTTACCACAATAATACCAACTGAAATATTTTACTCAACCATTGGTAGCATTTGCGAGTTGATTATATTTCTTGATATGCGACAGCATTCTTGAGTATTCGATTAAACATTTAGGTTATTTTTAATGTCCGCTTAATTAGAAGATTATATCAATTCAATTCTCCAAAAATAATTATAGATACGATCGCGTGTATATATATATATTTATAAAATTAAAAGAAAAATGGAACGTCTGAATTGAAATTCGATCGATAAAAAGAAGAAAGTTTAAATGTTAAATCACGAGTATTTGTTGTTAAAGAAAAAAAAAAAAAAGAAAAGTATGTCCTTTAGACAATCGGATTCAAACGTAAAAGGGTGTAAATATAAATCGTTTCGCGTCGAATGCGATTCAATTTATCTTTGATTACGCTCTCTGCGCACTTGTGCGGAGACGTCGGACCCGATTTACGAGCTGCTATTAAAAGCTTCGAGAGGAAGCATCTGTTTATGCTTGGTGAAAAGAAAGCATTCAAATTCCGACATCATCCCGTAAAGATGACTCGATGAAAGTTCGTAGACAACAAATTTCCATCTTTTTTGTTTTTCCTTCGAATCTTCGAATCGCATAAATTTGATAAGGAATCATAGTATTTCGAAGAAAGAAAAAGAAGACATCTTACAATGAGAATCCCTATGACATAATTATAAGATTGAAAATTTATGATTTATTTTGTCAAGAAAGAAAAAAAAATGCAACCACACGCTCTTCGTAAAGCTTTCACAGAGCACGAAGAGTTTCTTCTTTCGCACGTTTACTTGAACGAGGATGTACCTTAGAGAGAGAGAGAGAGAGAAAGAGAGATAGTTGGGACAGGGTGTTTGCGACGTAAAATCTGCTTATTAAATGCAATTAGCATGGTTTCGCATTTTAGTGGATAAACGAGTGTTGATCCTCTCTCTTTCTCTTTTATATAAAGAAAGAAGGATGGGAGAGAGAGAGCCCATATCGTCGTCTTTTCTCTTCGTACATGCCAACGGTCCTCGTATAATACGTATTTCTATTTGTCTGTCTCTCTTTTTTTACTCTTTCCATCGAAGTACGTTGGTATAGAGAAATGCAGGATCGATAGGGCGGAGGGTGGAGCACCCCAACACAATTTCATGACTCATAATGCACACTCCGTTCGAACTCGTAAGCTTTCTCTCTCTCTCTCTCTCTCTCTCTCTCTCTCTCTCTCTCTCTCTCTCTCTCTATATACACATGCTTTATCCTTGGCTCGTCTATTGTCTTCGCACGCCTTCCTTCGTGCTATTTTTATTACGAAATTACGTAGCCACGATTCGAGTGTCCAACGATCGTACTCGCTCTCATTAACCATTCAGTAAATTTGATTAGATCTTTTTATTTTTATTTCTATTTTCTTTTTTCATTCATATTATTAATATGTAAAGATTTGCAAAGAGAAATTTAAATTGAATTTAGCTTATCGATCGAAACAATGGAAGTTTAAAATCGATCGATCGAATTAAAAATTAAACTAATGAAGTGGAAATAAATCAATGAAAAATAAAAATGAGAAATCATATGAAAAATAATTTCGAATATTCTGAGATCGAACGAATAGATAAATATCTTAAACAATTTTTCATTATTTATTTTCTGCAAAAATAGTTATCATACCTCGAGTAGAAAAATCTGAGGAGTGTAAAGGAGTAACAGGTTCTGCTTCGAGTATCTCTCTCGAAATTTTGGCTACCTGCCTCGTGTGCAATCCAGATAATACGAGAACCTAAAATATTATCACTCTCTCCCTCTCTCAACTTATCTACGCGTCTATTTTCTTTTTTTCTTTTTTAAGCGAAATAGATTCAAAAATGGCGTTGACCGTGACGTTAGAAGAATCGAAGTTTCGACCTGGTCGATATATCGAAAAGATCGAAAAATGAAATCCCTTAATTGTTGACTGAAACATTAGCGACCAATTGCGTTTTCGGATAATACAAGAGGTTAGAATTTTATCTTATTTTCCCTCTCTTTCTACTTATCTATATGTATATCTCGTTCTAAAGAAGGACAAACTCAAGAACGGCCTTTGTGCCGTTCAGAAGGTTAGATCAACGTGCAAGTGCATCGTTTCCCGAAAAGGTCGAACCAGGGTGACTCATCATAGAATAAAGAAAGAGAGGCACAGATCGAGTGAGAGAGAAAATATATAGATATATATATATACATATACTCGAGGCCGCGCAGGCGGTGCGTTTTCCACGTATCGACCTGCGGGACGGCAGAAACGACAGGGATTGGTCGGGCAAAGGGCCGCTTTACGCTCGTTCACCCGGACTTTTCTCGTTAGAAATCGATTAGTGACTAGAGGAAGACCCCGTTTTTTTATTGTCAACCATCTTTTTTTACTCCGCCGATGAAATATCATTTTTCGACCTCACCACATTATAATCTCACTTTTCGAATTAATCTCGAAAGTTTCTAATCTCGTTATTACAATTTGTATGATATGTATATATATATATATATATATATATATATATATCATGGTTATCAAGTTATTAGAAAGTTGAAAAGTTAAAAAACGAAATGTTATATATACCACTTTCCTTCGAATTTATTGCGCATAGTGTAACTGACCACGGAAGTCTACTATCTCTTTCTCTCTCTCTCTCTTTCTCTCTCTCTGTGTTGGAGCGTTTGTATAGCTGCGTACGAGTGTCGCGAAACATATATATATATATATATGTATATGTATATGTATATGTATATACATATGTATAGGGTGCTTCGGTTTATACAACGCAACACTTGTTTGTAATATCTCCCTTGTTTCGAATGATACGATAAAATATCAAAGAAAGAAATTTATTTGATTGTAGGTAAACGATATTCTGATTAATATAAAATGTTCTTTTTCACGCACAGATGCGCGCTGATATGTTAATTATTATTTTTAGCTGGCATAACCTATATACACGTAACTTTAGGATATATGATAAATATCGTTTTTAATTGCGATTGGTTGTCATAATATCCATCGTGTCCTTTCTCCAAGAAATTACTAATTTAAAAAAAAGACCATTATGTTTGTATCGTGTAAAATATCGATCATATTAATCGAGAAACAAAGATGGAGAGTACGTAGAAATGATGATCCAAGATTCTTGAATGGCCATTATGTACTATTCGTCGTTGGAAATGAAAGTAACGTGTTTCAAATACTAACACTCATACGTATGTATATACATATTTAGAAACACACGATTAGTTTCTGCCTCGACCACTCGTTAACACAACACATACGTACGTACACACACAGAGCAGCAGAAGAATGGTACCGTTTTGTCCTTAATCCGCAACTAGCGTAAACGTAGAAAGACACTATATCGTCCTTGAACGATCGAGCTCGCATTCTCCATTTCTTGTTTCGTCGTCCAAGTCCTTCAAACTTTCTCATTAGAAAATTAATAAAAATGTTGTGCGCGTTAACAAATGAAATATATTATTATAATCATTCGTATTGGTGAAATTGATCAATCGATTAATTAGCGAATTGTTTTCATTCATCGAGGAAAGTTTAAAAACAAATTGTTAGGTTATGGAATTTATTGAAACGTTTAGCATTGTTTGTATTAGTATTTCTTAGAGATTTTGAAGAATGATAAAGAAGAGCCACAAGTTCTCATTAAGTGCTCGAAGTTTCACTTTTCGTGCCGCGTCGCTAAATATCTTACGAAATTCTTCATCGTGAAGAACGAACGTGGAAAACTTGTTTTGCGTGTGTGCAAGATATTTTTTTTTCTTTGACTCTCGTTCAATCATCAGTGATTATTGTCTTATTAACATCAGTAATGGGAATATAATCGTTTCTTAGAAAAACGTTAAAATTTCTGTCAAAAAATTCGCTTCTTATCGACTTCTTATAACGCATTAATAATAATTAATAAAATATACATTTGTTTTGTTAATTATTTCAGGACCAGTTCGACAATCTATCCCATCATACGCAAAAAGGGATAGACTTTCTCGAGAGATATGGACATTTTATTCGTGATCGATGTGCCATCGAGGTGGAATATGCGGCCAAGCTCAGGTATCCAATGATTATTTATTTATTTATTTATTTATTTAATTAATTATCTCTCAGCTTTCTTCCTGTGTGTGTGTACAACGCGCGCGCGCGCGCATTAGTAAGAACGAAGCTTTACTCAAAGTTAATACATTAATACTTTGAATGGAACATCCTGTATAATAAGTGAGTCTCACGCACCCTACAGAGTTCAGGGACTCGAGTTGTAATATTGTATTAAAGGTCCCCTTGTTTGTTCCCTGAATGCCGGTCTATGTAGCGTGTATTACATACTTTTGTTCTCTATCGGGTGTGTCTCTCTCAAGAAGACTTAGTGGTTACTACGTATGTATACGTACGTATGTACCAACTGCTTTTATGTCTTCTCTTACACCTATGAGAATATGTTTTATCTGTGTGCGTTGATAGTCCTTCGTTGCGTTTTATCGCGTTATCTCGTTCCATGTAGATAAATCGAAAATTCGTCGATAGAGTAGTCTTTTCTAAAGAGATCATTTATTATTTGAGGATATCTTTGGGTTATCGTATGACGAATCTGCTGTTAATTCCTTCTGAGAAATCTTTTTTTTTTTTTTTTATCTTTTTACGAGAAGTTTTGTATTTTTCAGAATGCTTGCAAAAAATTATTTCGTCTTTTTTTCCTTCTTTCCTTGGAAGAATCGATCTAAAATATTGAAAATTGTGACATTATTTGGCCCATTGCAATATTCATCCATTCAGATTTATTATTACATTTTTAAGAACGTACGTTGCACGTAATGTTCCTGTGCAATGTGCACTGTGATTTGACAAGATCAAGTTAAATCTATGGGTACATTAATGTCCTTTGTATATTTAGATAGGATCGTACGTTGATGATTATATGTGCCTTTCATTTTTATTTCTATGTCGATAGAAACGTATCATTTGTCTTGTTTCCGATTCTCTTATATCGGTACAACGCACGACCTACGTGATTTTCTTCTACGAAATTTTTCATAGAAATAAATTTACTGACTTATCCTTTATCAACCCTAAAACCTTGAATAATCTTGTAAATAATCTCGAGTTTATATGGTATCAAATATTTTGAATCCTACAAATAAATATACAACGCGATTCGCGTTTTTAAGCAGAGGTGTAAAAGTAGAATAGACAAAGTATGATGTGATAATATTTTAATGATACTAAGGTTAGATCATAAAACTCTGAATCGTTTAGATATATATCCAAGCCAATAATATTGTTTCGTTTCTCTTTGCAGACGTCTCGTGAAGAGTTATCAGCCGAAAGAACCGAAGAAGAAAGAAGAGGAGGAGGATTATAAGTGAGTACCAGGCAGTCTTAGACACGTAAGAAGACGATCGTGCCTCTCGTGATGTTCACGTTATGAGTCTCTCTCTCTTTCTTTTTTTTCTCTTATTGGATGCTACAGAATCGTTCTTAATGATCGTTTGTACGATGACTACTGACGTTGTTGCTGCTAAGAAAACAAAGTATTAGGGCGACTTGAACATTTTTTGATATCAAAAATGAGTAATAAGCTTCTTGCTTCTCTGCATTATTCTATGAAAATTGGTAGAGAAGTTATTAATATTAATAGAAACAATTGTTAGATCTAATAGAACGTGGAAGAACATTTAAATGTCTTCTGTGTAGAAAAAGAGATGTTATTTTTTAATTTAATTTATAATCAACTTTCTTGTTTATTTTTCTTCATAGATACAGCCCATGTCGGGCCTTTAAAATGGAATTAAATGAAGTGAACGACCAAGCTGGCCAGAGGGAGGTCATTGCGGAAAATTTGCAAGCTACCGTTCTACGGGAATTGAACATACTTGTGAAGGATTTCAAAGAAGATCGTAAAAAGTATTTGCAAGAGGGTATCAGATTGAGGGCAGCATTGGCCGGACAAATTGGTAATTTGGAACGAGCTAGAAAAGCATATGAGAAAGCTTTTCGTGAAGCGGAAAGAGCTGTTGAAAATTATCAGAGAGCTGACGCTGATCTGAATCTTTCTAGAGCCGAGGTATAGTTATAACGCGTTGATAACGCGTTTTCTCATAAATAAGAATAATTTTTTAATACTTGTTTCATGACAGTTATCCATCGAAGATCGTTGTAGTAACACTTTTGTTATTTATTATAATAGGTAGAAAAGCAGAGGATGAACATGACCCTGAAAACGCAACAAAGCGAAGAAGCAAAGACGGAGTACGCCAATCAGTTGCAAAAGACAAATGACATGCAAACGTTGCATTATCATACGTCCATGCCAGAAGTATTTCAGCATCTACAGGTAATACCTATCGGTAAATATGTATTCTTTGAAATATAATATATTAATGTTCATTAATTTCCGCTTTCATTAGGAATTAGATGAGAAGAGAATAAAAAACATGCGAAATTATATGATCAAGTCAGTGGAAATCGAACGTGCAGTTGCGCCAATAATCGCTCAATGTTTGGATGGAATTGAAAAGGCAGCGAATGAGATTAACGAGAAGGAAGATACGTTGTTAGTTATCGAACGGTATAAAAGTGGTTTCCAGCCGCCAGGAGATTTTCCATTCGAAGATCTTTCCGTTGCCAAGACGTACGATAGTAACAGTCAATTATCACAACCTGCGATGCAGCCGATACATAATCATCTGACAGTAAAGGGAACTGTATCCGGTGGGAAGATCAAAAAGAGAGTTGGACTTTTTGGAATTTTTAGTAGCAATAAGGTGAATATTTCTTTCTTGTTATTCGTTTCATTTATCACTAATTTGTAACCTCCTTCCATATATCGATGCAGAATTTATCTCAAAAACGTAAGGGCTATGGGGAATATGATGAAGCATGTTTTCTTCTCTTTCTTCTTTTTCTTTTACCTTTATCCTGAGTTATATATATATATATATATTTATTTATTTATTTATTTATTTATTTATTTATTTATTTATTTATTTATTTATTTATTTATTTATTTATTTACACACGCACACACACGCACGCGCGCGCGGTTGTATATGATATTATCGAAAAAGAAGAAGAAGCTTGTAAAATTTATAATGCACATTGTTGTTTTTCATCAAGCATGCATTTACAATGAATTTTATTCCTTTTAACGAGTCAAAGTACGTTCTTTTCTTTTCTTTCGTAACGTCACAAAATATAGATATTATTTTGCTTTGTTTCTCTTTATTTCTTTCTCATTATGAATATGTACATGATATTCGTTGCACAGAACTTCTTTTTAAGAGAATGTAACTTCTTTTTCTTCTGTATATTTTATTAATTTGGTGGACGGTTCGATCTGCCTGCGGTCTCTCTTGTTTCCAATCATCCATGGGCTATGAATTTGGATATTATCGCATTTAGTAAGTACACCGTAGATGGCTTGATCGTCCGTCACTTTGCAATCTTAACAAATCCTGCACTTGAAAACTGTGACTGTGAGTTTGTTTATCATTACGAATGTTTTATCTTCGAGAGTAAAAGTTCAACTGATTGAGAAATATTATTAAAAGTATACAAAGGGTATCACTATTTGAATTTTTACTCTATGTAATCATTAAAATACTACTTCCCCATTTATATGCTGAATGAAACGCTTTTGGAATTTGTTTCATGCGAACAACAGAAGTTGATCGAGGTGTGCATAGCTTTAAAGGTCTGTCCTCCTTCTCTATACAAAATGGCCATTATTCTTTTAATAAACATCCTCCTTATTATATTCATTCCTTTGAAGCCAATTTATTTTCTTTAATTTCATATGTCAAATTCTAGTTTCTAGCGTTATTAGTGATTCATATGATATATGTCTGTGTATATATATATATATATATATACATGTATATGTGTATATATATGTATGTATATATATATGCGCGTGTGTGTATACGTATACATACGTATTATAGCTTAATAATCAATATATTAATTTGTGTTCCGTTAAATAACAGGATTGATGCGTTGCATTTGTGACATGCTTTTTTCTCATGTAGTCCTCTATTTCACTTGATAGTTTTGTCATTGAACTTTGCAATTACATAAATTGAAACATTTCAGAACAACGTGCCTGGTTATGGCGATGGCGCAAAGGAGGACTGCAGCGATTTACCTCCAAATCAACGGAAGAAAAGATTGCAACACAAACTCGATGAAATTCAGGCCAAGATTCAACAGGAAACTGCAGCAAGAGATGGTTTGATGAAGATGAAAGGTGTCTACGAGCAAAATCCAGCATTAGGTGATCCAATGAGTATAGAAGGACAATTGAATCAATCTAGCAATAAATTGGACAAACTTGGTGCGGAATTAGCAAAGTTTCAAGGTTATTTGGAAGAAGCCATGCGTGCCGGTGTTAGCTTATCCAGGTAACGTTGCAAACGCGCGTAGTAATAATAAAAGAAAGAAATTTTCATTGAAAATATCATTTTTATTTCCTTTCAGTCCAAGTCAAGTCCAACGAAAGCCTACGAGTAATGGCTCAGCGACAAGGCCATTAAGTTCAAGAAGATCCAGTCATTCGGGAGGAGAAGAAAGTCTTTCAAGATCAGCTTCTGATTCTAGTGTTAGTAATGCGAATGCGAATCAGCCAGTTCATAAAAAGAGTGCGCCAGGTACTCCTCAACCAAGCCATGGGTAAGCAAAGCATTTCAATAAGAAATAATAAATAGAAAATAAAAAATGTGTAGTAATTTCGTTGAAAAACAAAAAAGAAGATTCATTTGTACATTGAAAAAAGAAAAAAAAAAAGTAGAGAAGAATATTTGTCTAAGACCAATAGACAAGATTTTGCTTTACGGTACTGATGCACAGTTCCACGAATAGCCCGGAATCTGGTCTTGGAGAATCAAGAACGTCACTTCCTGGAAGTGGAGGAGAAGAATATTATGTTGATGAGATAGATGCACAACCGCCATTAGGAACCTGTAGAGCACTTTATCCTTTCGACGGTAGGCATACAAACCTTTAAAATATTAATTTTAAAGGATTTAAGAGATTGGCATTAAAAAAAATCATCGTTTTTAGCTACTAGCGAAGGTTCTATACCAATGTACGATGGTGAAGAATTGTATATGATCGAATTAGACCAGGGCGATGGATGGACACGTGTTCGTCGTATCTCTCAACCAATCGAAGGATTTGTACCAACATCATACATAGAGTGTCACCTGTACAATACATAGCCGCTCCTTTTAGGTCATTAAATGAGATACCTAACTTCAAAGCGCAATGATCAATCCAGTGTTATGGTTCAATGCGAAATTTTTGAACTTTAATGCTAAGATTTCTTCAAGTTTGCTCGATGAAGTTATTCATTCGAGTGCTAAGAAGCGTTGGCTTAATTATTGGCACTGGGCTTATCAATTTCTTTCTATTCTTAATTAGGAAAGTCTAATCGTCTGATATTGACACGTGCTAATATTTTCAAGTTTGGAGAATTGCCAACGATATGACGACGACGACGACGACGACGACGACGACGACGACGATGACGACGACGATGACGATGACGACGACGACGACGACGACGACGACGACGATGATGATGATGATGATGAAGACGACGAAGAGGATGATAATGGCCAAATATATCCAACGCCATTTGCTCCATTTTTCTAATTTCTAAAGAGAACAAAGACCGAACAAAAAGAAAAAAGAAAGAAAGTTCTGCTTTGTTAACACAAGCAAAAAACAAAGCTTCCCATTAAAATGTACTTGCTTGGGACAGATCAAGTTCTATACAATTTTATGTTTGTATAGTTACATACAGTAGGATTCAATCGCGCACTGATACTTGAAGCTTCCAAATTACACTTAATCCTTCTTGTGTCGCCTAGATAGACGAATGAATCGTCTAATTTGACGGTCACAAATAATAAAAGAAGAAAAAAAAAACAAAACTATGTGCTGTTTACTTTTAGATAACGCACAAGTAACAAAGATTTGTGACTCTATCGAAGAAAGTAAATGTCTTATTGCATAGTATTTATTTGGCCCCTTTCTTCATTTCATTTTATATAGAACAACTGTTGTGCGAATTTGACTTTCTTTTTGTACCGAATTATAATTATTGAAGATTTATAGCTGACTATGCTCAGGGACAGACCTTACGAAAAATGCCAGGAGAACAAGAAGACTGATTTATATTCTTTTCTTTTTTTTCTTTTTTATTTCTCCCCCTTTGCGTTTGCATCAATTTTGGATTTCTCCATTTACTTCCTCTCTTATCCTTTTGTATAAAAATATTTATATTATTCATTTTTAATTAAAAGAAAATATTCTTACAAATTTTCCCAATTTTTAAGTAATCAACATCAATTCTCTTATTCCTTAAAAAGGAATTTTTTATTTCTGTTGAAGAAAAAAAAGAAAAAAAAAAAAATAAATAAAAAGAACTTGAAGATTATAAATTGCTAATGTTAATGAACACATGTACGACAAGGTCTGACCCCGGAGCGTGTCTTCTTCTCTTTAAAAAAAAAAAAAAATCTTTAGGAAAAAGAAAAAAAGAAATACGTCTGAGTGTGAATTAGTTAGGGTATAGATTTCTGTACATAATATTCCGTGGAAACGAAAGAAAGAACGAATGGTACACGAGTAAAGAGTGCCAGACGATGAAAAAAGAAGGAGTAACTTCCAATAAAGCTAGAAACTCGAATAATTGAAATGAAGACAGTTTCTATAAATTTTATTAGAAAAGTGTTTTCATTTTGATCTAAGCTTGGAAGTAGTTCCTACTTTGTGCTGCTTAATATAGCAGAAGCCTATATAGAATATCGTCCTATTTCTAAACGTGATTCTAAACGCAAACTAATAAAAAAATCACATCGGGCAGTTGATAATATTCTTGCGTATTAATGTATATGTACATACATACAACATACCCACGACGCACGTATCCCCCACATACACACACACATACACACACACACACACACACACATTATAAATATATTCAATATTAAAGCGTAGCTTTCGGTATATAATGAAATATGCAAGCACTGAAAATAATGAAAGGTTTTTAAATAAACCTTTTTCTCTCCCCCTTTCCCTCTATTGTCATATACACGTACACATACAGCACCTAATAAAGACTTTGTTCAATTACTTTTGAACAAAATCTCTTTAGTTATTATATATATATATATATATATATATATATATATATATATATATATATATATATATATATATATATATCTGACGTGTATGTACAATTCCTAGTACGCACGTGTCATGCATTTTTTCTTCGGTGTTGCGATTTAACGGAATTATTTATTATCGCAAAACGTTGAAAAAAAATTATTATAATTATCAATTTGCGAGACAGTATTCTTGCGAGAGAGTGTGAGAGAGAGAGAGAGAGATTGAAAGAATGGATGAATCTGCGAGAGTAAAATTTTTTTAATAATCAATGTTCAATTATTGTTTTAATTATTATTATTATTATTATTATTATTATTATTTTGTAATGTATATTTTTTTGTGATTTCATAACGACGAACAAGTATTGTAGATAATTAATTCTGCGACTCATTACACATTTTATTATTATTATTATTATTATTATATTATTATTATTTTATTATGTTAATAAGAAAATATATGTAGTAAACCAATATAACTCATTTACACGTGTTGTATATGACTAGCATACGTCTACTACTTGTATGTCGCGAGTTTAAAGTGACTCCGATTTATACATTAAAATGTGAAAACATATTACTCACACACAGCAATGTTATATATTGATTATGTCGTAGATTATTAGTTATTATTACTACTACTATTATTATTATTATTATTATTACTATTATTATTATTATTATTATTATTATTATTATTGTTGTTGTTCGAAAACAAAACTACGACACAGAGAGAGAGGAAACTCGTGTGAGTATATATGTATGCATATGTATGATGTATGCGTGCTCTGATATGACATACACACACATTTTGATGTCAATAAAAATCAAGGTAGCATCAAATTTCTTCTTTTTCTTTTATTTGTTATTTTATTACATTTATTGATTAAGAGAGTAAAGGAAACAACTGCTTTTGTTTTTCTTTCTTCCTTTCTCTCTCTCTCTCTCTCTCTCTCTCTTATTTTTTTTAAATACATTATTGCAACATCCCATGAATTGTTGACTAGATTAACAATACGTTACGATAGAGTGTTGAATTTACAATTTTGCGTATGTGTATGTGTACATGCACATACATTTGCAGATTAATTTTTTTTCTTTTCTATACAATTACAAATATAAATAATTGCAGAGGCAATTTTGTTATTTTCAGATATATAACCTTTTTTCTTATATTTATTATTTATTTTATATATGTATATATATATATATATATACATATATATACATATATATGTGTATGTGCTAAGAGAAAGATTTGTTACCTTACTCTTTCATTAAAGAAAATCAATATTATTGTCAAAGATCGATCAACCGCAAGATTGGCAGTTGTATACTGTTAATATAGTTCTAAAATATATAAAATGAAATAAATAAGTAGATTGTACTCTCTTACATATTTCAGAGAAAAATTTGTCGGATAAAAGTAATAATAATTTTTTTCCTTTTGTGATTTTTTAACGGCTATCGATTAGAATAAATTGAAGAGGCATACAAGTAGATAAAAAACTAAGTCTAAGAAACAATACTATTAAAAAGAGCAATTGATCTCTCCGATTCGATTAAATGCGAATCGAAAATATAATATTATTGAGGAGATCTCGAATAATGAGATACAAATAATAGAAATGTTTAAAAATAGCATTTTAAAATAGAAATCGATCAATATTTATATATACATATTTATATATGTATATATATATATATATATATATATATATATATATATATATATATAATACAGTCGCTTGCATATTCACTTACTGTCAGTCGTATTATCACTGTACAAAATATTTGTTAAATTCTTAAACTATGCAAGAATTACTTCTTGCAGTCTTGAACGAATCTTTGCAGAGAACGTTGTGCCGTAAAGCTTATTTGTAAAAAGTGAAAGCTTCCAGCTGGCTCTTTTTTAACAAAGTTAATATCTCTCTCTTCTTGCTTCTTTCATCGGACTAAAGTCAGGTTAAAGATCAGTTTCAGACCGTCAAATCTTCCCATTCTTCTACTTGTCGTGGAGTTAATTCCACTCTGATACGAGTCAAGGTACTCAGAAGATCATACATTCTTGGCGTTAATGGATTCGCTTGCAAATCTATGTATTCCAACGCCGGTGCATGTTTAATTCTCTCAACATCGACGTCTGAAATATAATAGGAAAGTACTAAATATTGTTGTCTCTTGCTTTTATTATAATTTTTATAAATTCTCTCTCTCTCTCTCTCTTTCTCTCTCTCTCTCTCTCTCTCGCTCTCTACATAGTTCTCTAATAAGTATGTCAGTTCATTTACTAACCAAAGAATAATTTTTCTAGATTCTTCTTCTGTATCCTGAAGACTTACCGATGATGGAGTTATTATTGGCAAGAAGTCGTTTAAGCTGAGGTATCTGGCAGGTAACAGGTGGCAAAGCGATAAAAGTATTATGCGAAATGTTGAGTCTTTCCAATGCTTGTAGTTCAGCAAGTTCTTCCGGGAGTTTACTCATTTGATTGTGACTTAGATTGAGTTCTATAAAGAAATATTTATTAATGGAAATATTTATTAAAGTTTAAACACATTTATCATTGATACTAACCAGTGATAAGGGAAAATTTCACTGCAAATTTTGGTGGGATCTTTGTTATAACATTACCAGACAAATCGCATCTTTTCAATTCTGTATGTCTCATCAAATGATAAACCGCATCCGGTATTTGCATTAACTGGCATTCAGACAAATCTGAAATATAATTAAAAAGAAAAAATAACATATAAAATAAAATCGTGTATCCCTTGGAAAGAGTTAACAACCAAGCCGATGTGAGAGTCGGTATACACGCATAGAGATCTCATTGAAAATGAATTGACCGTCGAATTACGACTGCTTCACGCTTTCTCCTGCTCGATTTTCTTAACCCAAGTACGGAAGAGAGGTACCGTCTGGAATGATTACGAAATAAACGTATTCTAAGTGTAAAACGCATATATCAGTTGGTGCTACACGATTATATCTAAAGTTCTCTAACTGGACGGTTGCCATATGGCATCGTTCGATGCACCTGTACAAAACTTGCAAATTTGTTATTTTTACACGATTCACTTGGAATTATATGTTATGAAAATCACAATCTGAGCATAATCTCAAATATTATCTTGATTCATTATAATTAAAGAATAATGTGGAAAAAAATGTAATTCGTACAATTTTCAAAAAGCGCGCCGCTCCAACGGTTGCTACGTGAAGTAAGTAACATATAAGTTTATAGTTCGATCAAAAGTACGGTAGACCACGGTTAGGCTTTAGTTTTTCGATCCCGAATGAAATGTAAAAGAGGTTAGTAGAAAAAGAAAAAAAGAAGAAGAAGGAGAAAAGAAAGAAAAAAAAAACGATAATAAATGTAAAAAAAGAATATTGAAAAGTGTAGGGAAAAGTAATTTCTTTCTCGTACCGAGATTTTCATTCTCCTGAGCTTCTTCACAACGTAATACTACCTTTGTCACAGCGTTCGCCATTTTGTTTTAGACCGAGCAACGGAAGCGATTCAACGAATAGTTCTCAAGTCCGCTCTCGTAGAATGCAATCGCGAGAAACATTTATTTTCGTTAAGATCTCTCGGAAATAAATTCACCCGATTCGTTCTATCGCTTGGCCTTGACAACACCCGTTTAGAAGATATCGTCAGTAGATCGAAATTGCGTTTATCGAAGTATACGTTCCGAAGGTAAATTATTTCTATTACAACGTTTACTATATTAATCCTTTTTCTCCGAACGAATCTGTGAACGCGATTTCTTCTTTTTCCTTTGTTTGAATATAACAGTGAATTAAAGAAGAAGAGAAAATTCGTCAAATCAGAAATGATTTTTGTACGATAAAACGAGAAGATCCTACGTAGATACTACGTATATTTACAAAATTCTTCTTTGTTCTTTTACGTTTAAGCTTCGTCACGGAATTCGTATTATGGCGCCTTTTTGATTTTTGAATTTCCCGCAAATTCGTGTCACATCGTTTGACTCTTCCCAAGAGACGATCGTTGAATTTGTTGCTTTTCAAAGTACATTTTGCAATGAAATATAAATAATAGGAAAGTGTCGTTCATTTAGATATAAAGAAACAAGTAAGTAAGAATTTCTTTATTATTATCGTATATTCGATGGTATCGTATAGATCGAGATTATATGTTATATTCGAAATAATAAGTATCATTGAATAGATTCTAAAAAAAAATATCAGTGGTCATCTAATACGATCAATCAGTTCATAAATAGAAACTTAAAAAAAGACTTTGAGAAGTCATTGAACGTTAGACACCTACGTAAAATAGATCGTGCGAAAACGTGATGGGATCGTCGCATTAGATCCGACACAACCAAACTTTTGTGTCCATACATGTATATACTTGTGCATTATATATATCTATATATATATATATATACACACACACACATATATATATATATAGAGGGGGGGGGGGAGGAATAATTTTTTGTCATAAAATAAAGAAAGCATCGTGGCAGCAAGTTACCTTTTATGGTTACGTTTCTATAAGAGGAATACTACCCACGCGCGATATCCGTGTATTTCTCGTCGTTTTACGAATGCTTTGAATGGTTCCATTTTGAATTTATAAAATGAAAAATTTTCTTTACAAACAAAGTATATAGATGTATGAGAAAGAAGAGGGATGATGTTAAAAAGGTCAGATCGTCCGGCACGCGAAACGTTTGCGTGTCTCTGTCTCTCTCTCTCTAACACACCATTTACTATTCCTAGATCGACCTTTCGAACATAGATCCATAGATTCGATCGTAACTGCTCTTTGCAAAAGAGATCTATCTTGTCCTTCGAGAAGAAAATTACTGTCGCAGTGCATTAAAAAAGGAAAAAAGAGAGAGAGAGAGAGAACAAAGACCGGACGAAGGTGTTGTGTAATCATCGTTCTGATGTTTATCCTGTCTATTATCTATGCTGTGGTAGCGGCAACACGATTCCACCAACGAGCATTTCACTTTTTATTCCGTTCATCGTACGTGTTTTTCAAAGGCGCGTATTTTGAAAGACGCGCGAATTTTAGAAATAATTTGAAATTTTTAAATTTTCGGAAGGTCTCAATTTTTTTATTATTATCATTATTATCATTATTATCATTATTATCATTATTATTTTGATAAATTCCGAAACAAAGAAAGCGATTTATTAAAAACAAATATTTGAAATTATTATCCTCGAAAGATTCGTCTTGATGTTATCATTATCAATATTATTATTATTATTATTATTATTATTATTATTATTATTATTATTATTATTATTGTAATTATAATTATAATAATAATTTTTACGATCATCGGAAACGATCGTTGTAGTTATATCGTTGAAATGCATGCATCGATGCTCTCTTGTTATGTTCTTTCTCTTCGCGGGAAAACTTTCGCCGGTAAAACCGTTTAGAAACTTTTCTTGTTATATGTAATCTAGCTGAACGCACATACAGCTACATATGTATATATATATATATATATATATATATATATGTAAGTGCGGTAAAACAGAAGAGAAAGATCAACATACACATATTTATTTTTTGCCTGAGAAAACTATTAACATTTTTATAACGCAGTTACAGATGGAAGGTTAAATTCTTGGTGCGTCGCAAGAAAAAGAATGATGCGTGGCGGATAAAGAGGGGAAAGGGGGAGGAAGAGAGGAAGTGTAGATCTTAGTTCGTCGTTTGCTACCAATGATACGGCATTGATCAGGGTTCCTGATCTATTCAGATTTACAGATAAGGTAAAGACAACACACACGCGCACACAGAAACGAACTTTACCTTTGTGTTTTCTTTCTTTCTTTTTTCTAAACAAAAAAGCAGGAAATGGAGTTATTGTACAGTTACATACTTATATATTTACTATAATTGATTTGAGTGCAACGTGCTTGATATTATACGCGCGCACACGCACACACACAAATGCATATAAAACTTTATATATACACATATATATGTATATATATATAATATATAAAAAAATTAATGTTCGATTGAAAAGATGCTTTTTACGAATGAAAAAATATTTAGGTTAAATTAAAAAATTTGATTTAAGGAAAAATAATAAGACATGTCCTATATATAAAGTTAATCGTGTTATCTTATCGATTCGTTCGATGATTCAAAAATAGATTTCTGTTAGAAAGCTTTATCTGTAAAAATTGTTTAATCGATCAAAATTCTTTCTTGAAAGGTGTATCAACGAGTCAGTGTGCAAGATGCGTTACAAATTATACAAATACTAGTTGGTAGTAATAACATGTAAATAGGTGCGTTTATAGTTCATGCTGATTATGATTAGACATGATGACTTTTTCGTATTTCTCTTTTTAACATACCTAAATTACAATTGTCCTGAGCTTCCTCGCATCGCGAAACTACCCTAATAATCGCTCGGCCCGCCAATTGAACGCAAACAGCCATGGCCACGTTCCTTTCTCCTTGCTCTTGAGGAATCTGTTGTACCTCTTCGGCATTATACGCTGGTGGTCTCATCTTCTTCCGGCTTTTTACGAAAACAAATCGGAAAGATATCCGCGTCGTCTTTATTTCTTTTATATATACATATACGTATACATATATATATATATATATATATAGTATATATATATATATGTATATTTGTATGTACGTGCGTGCGTGCGTATGTAATTTTTTCTCCTTTTTCTTTTTTACAATCACTCGGGAACAATTTATCCTTTAAAATAAAAATTAGCAGCACTAATAGTATCTTCACTATGGCGAAAAAGGTAGGGATTTTCCTCCTTTTATTTCTTCTTTTTCTTTCCTTTTTCTTTCCTTTTTCTTAATTTTTTTGATCTTAAAGCATCAATTAGAATAGGAAAACAATATAGAAACAGGTATAAGACGATGAAAATTGGATATTAAATTGGTTGATTATTACAAATGATTATGTATCTATATCAAAAGGAAGAACTTTAAAAGGCACTTGGTACGATCTAACAACACAGTTTTCTCTTTATTTCTCTTGTTGACGAAAAAAGATCTATACGATTTTCAATTTGCGATATGAAACGAACTTAATCCGTCCGATGTAAACGCTGACTTGCACTAACGTGCGTGAAAGCATACGGTGCTATTTAAGCCTTCTCTAACTCTTCTCCCACCCAAGGATGCATTTTGAATCAGCTGACTACTACTACTTTGTTCGGGTCCTCTCTCTCTTCCTCTTTCTTTGTTTGAAAACAGCTGTAGGGAGTACGACGTACGTAGATTCGGAACGAGACTTGAACGATGCAACCTGTCAAAAGCGGTGTCAGCTTTTCTACGAATACATGTTGCTTTTTTTTCTTTTCTTTTCCAAGGTCACCATTCAGAGGATAAAGCTCGGTGATCTTTCCTTTGTGCGAACTCTTTTTCTGCGAAATAAAAACGTTTGTAAAAGATACCATTTTTTGTTTTCTTTTTTTTCTTTTTTTTCTTTTTTCTTTTTTTCTTTTTTTCTTTTTTTCTTTTTTTCTTTTCCACCCATTAGATACAAGTGGTATATCGTTGATAACTTTTGATTAGTCTGAACGATTTAATTGTACGTTCGTTCGTTCAAAGAAATCAATGGAAATGCAGAATTGGTTTGCTTCGATGGACTTAGTTGTGCGTTTAATTTTGTTTTTATTGGAATTAGAAGGACAGTTCATTCGTAACGATAGTTCATGCCAATATAGAGATAGTAGATTCGGCAAACTGCCCAAATAAATCGTTTCGAAACTCTATCGCAAAAGGAAATTTGCTAAGGTAATCAAAAAAATAAAATCGACTTTAACAAGAATTATTCGAAATTCGTAAGGAATGCTTAAAATATAGATTTCTCGCTTTAGCAGTATTGAGTTCTCGTAAACTAATGCAATATTTTACCATAAAAAAAATATTTTTGCGAAATCAGGTTTGAATTATTAAAAGAAAAAGAAAGAAATTTGTTTATAGGCAGAATGTATTTCTTGGAAATTTTCTAATCTATTTCAAAAATTTCTCGTTCCTTCGCACTAATTCACAAATAATTTCACCTCATTTATTTTTTTCTTCCCTATCTATCGAGCTAGTAATAATTTGTTGTTGTTGTTGTTGTTGTTGTTGCTGCCGCTGTAGCGAGAAGAAGAAAAAGAGTAATTGTACCCTTCATTCATCTCAGTGAATCTCAGTACCCAAGAGGGATAAAATGTTTATATGACTTTACGGTATGTTTGGCCGACAGCCAGAGGATACTGCGCGTAGCATTTCATGTACGAGAATAGAATCTCACCGGGCAAAATCCCCCATGACTTTTCTCTCCTCGTCTTCATTTTGGCTTTCATTTGGACGATCGTGATAAAAGCTTCAGACGAATCCAGTCGATACTTGTATATTACTACACTTTCAACAAAATATTTTTTCCTTTTCTATTGCTACTATTATTTATATTATGAGCCGGGCGCGCACATTTTAACAAATATCTCAGAAATTCTTCCTATATATATATATATATATATATATATATATATATATATATATATGCGCGTTTTATCGATTTACAACAAAGATTCATTCCTTCGGAAGAAATGGTTCAAGATAATTATTATCAATTTTTCTTTCTTTTTTGTAATAAAATTAATTAGAGAAAAGTAACCATTGCGTGCTTTTACATTCCTTTGTTACTTCTATTATTGAAATTGAATTTTTCTCTTGGACGCACTTGGGCAAGATCCGGGAAATCTTTGTAAGAAAACTGTTTGTTTGCCAAGTTGAGAACGTTGGCCCTATTTAAGTATAAGCTTTGACGTCGATTCTTTGTGCGCTTCGTTCTCTACTGCGTCTTTCTGCGTTTTACGTATTTTTTTCTGTTTACCATGAACTTTCGTTTGGTACAACCAACGTATTCGAACTCGTACATTCCAACAACAACAGGAATAATAATAATAATAATAATAATAATAATAATAATAATAATAATAATAATAATAATAATAATAATAATAATAATAATAATTAGAAAGGATTTTCATTTTATAAACATCTTTGCAGGCATATAACGTATATATATATATAGACTTTTTTAAAATTGTATTGGGAAGAAGAGCTGTGTTATTTATACAACGGATATATTTATCTTATACCTTAACAAGACGTTTTTTAAACATTTGCTACAATTGCAAAACGAACATTGACAAACGTACACATCCTGAATAGATGGATCTCTATCGATATTATTTGTTTTATGTATTACTAAATATACTACTGATATTAATCGAAAATCAGTCGGGATTCATATATATTTTTCGTTGCATTATACGAATAATACTAAAAGTTGTTAGGCCAAAGTTAATGCGTTACGATAAGATTAATTTTTTGATTGTGAAATAGAATATTTATAAGTTTATATCACGAATATTTAAAGAAATATGAAAAAATTCAGAAAAATACATGGAGACATTAGAAAATACATCGATGCACGTTCCATTACATTTCGTTCCTTTAATCAATATTTCATTGCATCACACATGTAAAAGACATTATTCTATTCTAGTTATACTCCATTGATAAATTACATACGCTTACGCAGACGCACACGCAGACGCACACACAGAGACATGTATGGCTATGTAGCGAAACATATCTTGTACTCGGTTTTCTACAAATATACAATTTATTATAAATATAAGTCTTAGCATTTGGTGTTTACTAGGAGATTTCAATCATTTATCACAACTAGATATTTTTGAGTATTATAACTTCACAATCAGAGAGTAATATTTATACGGATAAATATGTTCACGCGTGTAATAATTTTTGATCAAGCCAATATCTCGAGTCTAAAATAAAAATATCCTATATCAGAGTATTATTATAAATTCACTAATTGACTAATGTAGAATATTCGAGGATCTGGAAATATATGAACATTTCTCTCTCTCTCTCTCTCTCTCTCTCTCTCTCTCTCTCTCTCTCTCTCTCTCTCTCTCTCATTCAGTTTTCGTTTTTAGCTTTCTCTAATGCCTCTTGCGCGTGTTGCAAGCCAGCACAATAATGAAGAAGTAAGACACTCAAGGCCTGCACCCGTAAATCGCTCTGTGCAATTAATTTTATACTATCGTTCTCTCCGCTTTGAGATAACTCTAATCTTGAGGTAGTTTCAGCATCCAGGGCAGTTTTTAGTTTTCCTATCTGTGATAAAGTAAAAAACATATATACACAGAGACAAAATTGTAAGGTGGAGAAATTAGAAATTACCATGTCATTGATCTTCTCGACACGTTCCAATGGCTCGAAATACTTGTATAAGAATTTTCCAGTATCTTTGGCTCTAGACATAAGACCATCGTCCAAATCTCCTGCGACAAGTGGAGCTGCCACGCTTGGTTCAGCACCTTCCAAAAGTTCAGGACTTATACCCAAACCTCCAACCAATGAACTCTAGACGTTTCAATGATTTAATAAGACTGATTAAATATATTAAAGGTCATCGGAGCTGTCTTGACCCTAAGAGCACGATTTATTAAAAAATATATTATAGAAATAGAATTGTAGAAGCACGATGAAAAATAAATTCAGCCAATATTGCATTTACCTGATCTAAAGTAGATCTGTGTATGCCCTTTTGATATTTATAGTTAATTATAATGAAAACATTTCTTTCACATCTTAATACACTTCCATATTATAATGAATAGGTGTTAAGAACAAGTGTTAAATAATGTCTAAAGTATACAACAAATGCATGCAGGCATATAATATTATTAAAGTGTAAATGGCCAATAATATTTGTTACGCTTAATTTTGTTTAATAATACGACAGGAAGGTTAATGGAAGGAGAATATAAAGTACAAGGGATGTGGAAGGGGAGAGGGAGATGGAAGGATTAAGGGGTGCGAAGATGCATCTACCATAACGAAAATGTTTCAGTAGCAAAGCTATATTTGCGATTAGAACAAAATGTGCAATACTATTCGTGTTAGAAAAAGCAAACTCCTTCATTTTAAGCAGAGTACATGTGTGTCAATAATGTCTACCTTGCGGGATGCACAGGGACTTGGGGGAAGACTTCTAGATGCCAGACCGATACCGGAAGTTGGTGGAGCCAGACAACTGGTACTTCCAGCCTTCTTGAGGCCCAAGAGTGTGTTAGCTATACTAGCCTTCATGGCCATCATACTTGCACCCTGATTAATTGACGAATGGATTTGAATTTTTTTTAACACCTTTAGAGACCGTGATTGAGAAGTATCCGTAAAGTAAAAAAGTTGATATCATAAGCTTCTTATAGACATTTTGTCTATAGTCCGTTCGACTTTTTTTTATAACTCTACAGGCAACGACGAAACTATAATTACTATGGCTTAAAATTTGATGGTATCGATCAATAGGCAAGGTCAAGGTGCAAATGCCTACAAAAAACCGTCATCACCCCGAGTGCAAAGACTCCTTTTTATTGCCAACATAGTGCATAGAGTAACGCTTAACAATTATTCTTTTTATGTACATAAAATCGAAATTGGACTATTGTTATTATTACAAGTCCACTTATTACCCCTTATTGAGATAGTAAAAAGTTAAGGACAAAAGTATTGAAATAAATGAAAATATATCGGGGCTCGATGCATATAAAGCAGCACGTTTCTTTTCTTCCCTTTATCTTTTTTTTTTTTTTTTTTTTTTCTTTTTCATGAGGTCATCACATCAATATTCAATGTTTAGTTCACCAAAGTTGTATGAATATCGACAATATTAAAAAATTGCCAATATTATCATTTTCAATGTTAATGAGATTTATTGTTATGCCTTGAGTACCTGAACATTATCTTCACAACCGGTAAGAGATATCTCCGGACTAGACTCGCCGACAATAGCGATGGGCTCTATTTCATCGGCTTCTAATGCCAGGGTGGCTAATGTGGTTTCCGAACCACATATCCCTGATGCTTGACAACGAACCTCACATTTTTTATGACATACCATACCGCAGTCCCTGCATTGTATCGCATCCTTTAACCAAATCTAAATGAAAAAGTAAAGGAAGAAGGAGCGTATTGCAACTAAGTGTGTATCGTAAATAAAGTAATCTGTTCCAAGTCGAACTTGAGCGATAATTAAGAGTAACCATTTAATACCTTTTTCGTGCAAAAATCGCAGTGAGTCGCTCTGTGGAAGTGCGTCCTAATGAAATCATGCACTTTCCTTTCAGCTACCTCTTCACTCTGAATCGGCTGAGCTCTAATAATAGCTTCTACATTATCCTTTTTTACAGATTCGCTCGTGATATGGCTATTTGGCACACTGCTTTCCCACATATACGACATTAAAATGTCCCCGAAGCATAGAGTAGGATCAAAACCAGAGTACCCTTGTAATTTATTACTGGACGTTGCTAAAGAAGCTTAAAAGAAAAAGTTCGATTACTTCAATATGATGTCGTAATATAACGTAAGGTAAGGTATGCACAATCATCATATTACGTACCACTTTCCGGTGGCAACAGTGGATGACATTTAAGATAATGTCCTGTCGACGACTTAGCACACTGCGCCACGATCAATTTTATAGGGGCATTAATGTATCCTAATAATTTAGGAGTATATTCGTTAGATTTAACGCGGCCCCATACACCTATATTTAAATAATGCTGTTCCGAGTCTATCTGGAAATTTCTAGTTTCCTCGAAAGTGATCAAAGAGGCATATCCCTTTTCCTTCGTGGTGTAATACAAATCAGACAAATTAGTGACATTATTATCGTCGATAAGGCAAAACTGAATGTTGCCGGATGTTGTCGATTGACTCGAAGCCGTTGAAATTCTTCTCGATGGTGTTTCAGGCATTTGTTGAGTTGTTTCTTCGGAAATATGCGTGCTACTACTCCTTCTTCTTCTGAACAATCTACTAGAAAATTCAGACCTATCTATTACACTCTCGCCGTCCGTATCTTTTGGTTCTAAGAATTTCATTGGACCTTCGAGTTTCACTTTACTGATATCATCGATCGTACCATCTCCTTTTATCCCTAACGCATCAGTTCTCCTTTCTGAAATTTTTTCCATTCCAGACTTTATCTCACTGTCAGATTTAATAATACAAGCTTGTTTCTCCGTATCTACTTTGAGATATTTCCTTTCGACTCTAATAATGAAACGTCTCTGTACAGCACTTTTAACAAGTTTTGCGACTTGATTCATATTGTTTACCTTTTTACCATCGACGGCTATTAAAATGTCACCTTTTCTCATCTCGGCTATGGCAGCCGGACTTGCAGATACTATAGTTTCAACGAGTACGCATACTTGACCAATTTCAGGAACAAGCTCTTGTTTAAATACTACACCAAGCTGCTGCGAACTAGTTTTACTAATAATTAAATCTAATATCATGTACGTTACTCCATTATATTGCGTTAAATGTACCCAAGGCGTTGAGTCTATGCTCATCGTACAATGCACCTCTATTTGAGAGACGTCTTCTGCATTAACCATGTTAGGTCCAACGTTTAATCGACTAACTTCTAACAACGTAACTTCCAAGCATCCTGGATTGATCTGCACACCGGCAACCTATACAACAAATATTTCCTTTTATCTCTTTGTTTCTTTTTTTTTTTAATTGGCAATAGGAGTAAAAGAAAGAAAGAAAGAAAGAAAGAAATTATAGCTTACTTCTGATAGGTCGATAACTTCATCGTTTAATCTGCGAAAGAAAGGTTTATAACGCATCTTGTATCGTGGTAACGTATGTTTTCGACGTACGGCCCTTCTTATTTGTCCAGTAATTAATGATATTATTTGTGGTTGCAATTGGCGACCTTGGAATTGGGATTGCACTTCCAATTCCAAAATGGGATCCGAATAGAAGCTTAAAGACCAATGCGTATATGGTACGCGCGTGAATTGCAATCTTGCTCGACCAGTAACACGTTTCACTAGGAGAAGCCATAATAAATGTTACCGTTACTGATATAATCGATATGGTTGCATACCTTGTAAAGCCATGTACGCCGTTTTTCCCAACAACATTTTAACGTCTATTGACATTTGAAAATTTCCTGAATAATGTAAATCGAGGGACAAATCCAATGATTCCAATAATCCAGTATCAGCGTCTATCTTAGAATCGGCTACTTCCAAGCCCTTTATCGTTGGAAATTGTGTGCCCAGATTCAAATCTCTTAACTGAAAGCAAACAAGCAAGCAAGAATGATCTCTCTCTCTCTCTCTTGTACGATAAAGAATTTCTAATCGTAAATCAATTTACCTTTACGCTATCAAGTAGTTTTCCAGTAGTCGATTGCGTTAAGAGCTCTTTGAATTCATTGTTCAATTTTCTATAGAGCCAAAGACGAACGCGTTCTGCGTCTCGCAATTCGTTGAAAAGAAATTGCAAAGTAAGATTTATTGCTAAATTTTCATTTCCTTGATAAATACTTTGTCGAACGATATTGCTATTAAGATTCGTTTTTTCATCTTGCA